TTTTGTCATCCTTTCCCTTAGGGCTATGGTTACTCTTATGTAGATACTGTTGTATTATTAAAATTTAGCCTTTACAGTTGAGGATTATTTTCTATATTTTTTTTCTCCTCAGAAATGAATAATTAAAGCAAATTTATTTGAAAATTGAAATCCTCTCCTCAATGTGCTGAAGGTTATGAAAAGATACATACCTGACCTGTAATGGGAAGATGTCTTTGTCAGTCATGCAATAAAATTTCCAAATGTCCTCTTTATCTGCCTCACTCTTAAATGTTAGTGATCCAGATGATCTGTAAGTAATGCAATGGAAGTCAAGACAACAAAAGTCTTCTGTTATTGAAGATCCCTTTCAGCTGATATTTTGCGATGGCTCAGAAGTGGCAAAATGATGTTTCTCTCCTGCCATGGCAGTGAGGGAAGCTCTGGATAGTCCCTGTGTTCCCTTCAGTAGAGCTGTAGGCTGTTATTCCATTGATATTCTCATACTTTTTCTTTGTTTTTTTGCTTTAGGCTTTTTGTGGAGGGAAATGTTCAAATCCCAGATATTTGATTTTTTGATTCAGTTGGAGCTGAATTTGTTTTGTGAGCGTGTTAACAAACAGATACTCATCTGTCCTGGGAGGAGCTCTGCTGTGGGATCCTCCAGGCTTCTCCCTGGCTGCTGTTCTTGCTGTTCTTGCAAACCACGAGCATTGCTGCAGCACCCACAGAACTCTCACCTTGCTTGTTATAGATCTTTGCCTTATTATGGCATAAAGCAAACAGAACCATGGTTTCAAATATCTGCAGTACAGATGAGCAATTTGATCTCTTCACATACTGCACTGGTGTGTCTCCACCTCTGTGCAGTTTTGGGCACCTCCATATAAGAAGGACATCAAATTATTAGAGTGTGTCCAGAGCAGGGTGATGAAGATGATGAAAGAACTTGAGGGCAAGGCTTGGAAGAAGTAGCTGTCCAGCTTGGAGAAGAGAAGGCTGAGGGTTTTTTTCTCTTTGCAGTCTACACTGTCCTCATAGGTGGCGGCAGAGGTGGGTGCTGATCTCTGGTGACCAGTGACAGGACATGAGGAAATGGGATAAAACTTCAGGGGAAGTTCAGATTCAACCATAGGAAAAGGTTTTTCACTGAGAAGGTGATCAGTGACTAAAACAGGTTCCCCAGGGAACAACAATCCTGCCGGTGTTCAAGGAGCATCTGGATGATGCTCTTAGTCTATAGTTTAGCCTTATAAGTCCTGCAAGGAGTAGGGAATTGGACTTGATGATCCTTATGGATTCCTTACAACTCGAGATTTTCTGTGATTCTGTGAAACAGAACTTACAGGCTTACTGGGATATATGGGCATTTTCATTAGCCACTACTTTTTTCCAGGGGAGATTTGCTTACCAACTAGTTGTCTGACTGGAAATAACCAAACCTGTGTGAACAATAACATTGCAACTGTGGTGTCTCAGGAGAAAGGGCAGAAGTCGTAATTCATTACCCTTTTTTGCTGTCACATATTAATTACTTGTGTGCATCACCTTCAACCTTTGGACAGCACAGAGTGCTACCCTTTTTACTTGACTAGAAGGAAGGGATGAGAGTCTCTTCTGTGTTCTTATTTGGTCCCTATCACTCCTTTCTGTGTTCACAACGGGGCTCAGAAATGCTAAAACTGTGATTTTCTGTAAACTGGATCAATTTTTAACTTCCTGCTGTGACATATTAGAGATGTTTCTCATTACGGCTAATGGAAATAACCCTAATCGATGATGGTCGTTGTAATGAGGTTACTGCTAAATGGGTTTTAGGATTGTTGGACGTGGGGGTTAGTCAGTAGCCTGAAGTATGAAAGAATAACAGGTAATCCAGAGGCACAAAGAACAGCTACAGGTGTGTACAAGCAAGGTTCAGTGGTGGAGCACGGTGGGTGGAGTTCTCATTGCAACTTTTGTGTTGATTTGAATTAGTTGTCTTTTCCTTCATCAAGTGTGTCCAGCTGCTGATAGATGTAGAAGTGAAATGTTTTCCTGTCTTCCCTTTTTCCATGCTACAGTCCTGGTTTGCTCAGTTTTCTGTAAGGATCTGTAGCAGTTGGTATCATCCTAACAATTCTCAAGCAAAGAGTATGTACTTCAGTTTAAACTGCCTGCATTGCAAGGGTAATCTTGCCTTTTGCATGCTGTGTGTAGTTACTACCAGGATGTTGAATTTATGGCAGAAGTTTGAAATAGATAATCAATATCTTTTCATAGGGGTAGAATGAAAGAAAATTTGCCAGCATCATACATAGGTTTCAGAATATTGTATAATTTTCTTGAAGCTTAAGTAACTTGAGAGCTTCACTTCATTAATGGCCATAAACAGAGGAATTGGCAGTTGGTGTGGAATGGAAGGAACAAGAACTGAAGGACCAGAATTAAGCAGTGGTTATGGGATATTTTTATTCAGCGTTTTACCTCCTTTGCAATATTTGAGCTTTTTGTAACTCCTTGTCAAGATGCAGTAACATCAATTCAGTGCTTTTTTTCAGGTTGTGTTTTCTCTCTTCTCGTAATCATTCTCATTAAACCAACATGTGAAGAAACACGTGAGGGATGGTGCAGACTGTGTGCTGATTGATGTTGACTGATTTTGCTATTTTAGAAAACAAGAGAACGTTGACTTGTTTAATTCCCCCTTAGGACTCGTGCTAGGACTAAGTGCTAGAAAAATCCCCCATGAAGGCTTTGCATTCACTTTTCAGTATGGCCTTTTAGTTCTGAGGTGAAATAAGACATTTAGAAGTGTAACAGATCAGGTAATGATGACTTCATCAGCAGAGATGGCCTCACAGAAATTTAAGCTGCGGCTTGCCTAGAGCCTTACTTTGCAAAGCATATCATCTGGTTCTTAATTTCAAGCATGTTTGAATCCATTCTAGTTGAGCAAAATATGTCGTCTCCTTTCCTACCTTCTGTTAAAAAGCTACCAGACTGTAACACGGAAGGAAAAGCCACCAAAACACAGTCTAGAACACAATGTGCTTTCCTACAAAGGGTGGAGCATTTACAATGTCAGAAACCAGGCCACACCAGTCATTTGGGTCTCTGGTCCCCTGATGACACATCACTAGGGCCCCAATACAAAGGCATCATTTCTGTGCTACAAACCTCTCCTGGTGGGTCAGGTTCCCTGTTGGACTCTGGAGCCTTCTGTTCAGCCCACTGACCTTCTGGTGGAGCTTCATAAAGGCAGATTGGGCTCCCCCTTAGCCTGATGATCTCTCATTGCCATGGGGAGCCCCATGTCTGCCTACCTCTACTTTTTTCCAAATCGCTACTGTGCAAGGTAGCCTGTGTTAGGTGAAAGGTCTGGACACTTTTTTGGTTGCTAGGAGGGCAGAGCTCTGTTCTGTTGACCATTCTGGAGTTGTTTCCCAAAAAAAAAAAAAAAATTGCTTCTGGAGTCTATATTCATTCTTGCATTTTAGTGGAGGAGATAATAATGGCCATTCTTCACCACAGCTTAATAAAGCTCTGAAATACAAAGATGTAAAGGAAGATATATCATTGGTTTGGGTCTTCGTTTTTGGTTTTGTTGGGGTTTTTTTTGTGAGGGGGGTGGATTTTTATTTATTTTTTTTTTAGAGAAAATGTCATGCTGAACATAATTCCAGCACCCTCCTGTTGAATGCAGACAGGAGCCTGAGGGATCTGGTCTAATCATCTACTATGGCCTGTGCATATGGATGACGGGCTGCGTAGAAATTTAGGAAGAGAAAAAATTGTAGAAAGAAAGAAGCTTAACTTTAAATAGGTGCAACGTGACCCATTTTCCTCTCTTGCACCATAAGGTTTTTTGCTGCTGGCTCCTGCCTGTGTGGGCTGATCCCATTTGGTACTGTTGGCTCTACTGACCCTTGGGTTTGTGGGTGGCTGGAACTGATGTCTGGGTCATTTTATGTGTCTCAGGATCTGCCCCTGGTTGCTCTTCCACACCATCATGCTGAGTGATTCATAGGGGTGTGGAGGAGATTGGCATCCTCTGTGTCTGATCCAGTTGTGCTTCAGTTGGAGGGCAGGAACTGTCTCTGCATTGTGCCTCTGCTTAGCTGTGCAAGGGGACACAGAGCCTGGCAGGGTAGCCAGTGCCAGGGCTGAGTTTGGATCTATTGTCTTCACACGGGGGAGGGGGGAAAAAAAAGCCCCCCCCCCTTAAATTTTACTCTTGAGTGAATCTTAATCTTTAAATTACTACAAATGTGAGACTTCCTATGCTATGATTTGAGAATAACTGTAATCATTTCAAGAAAACAAAGCCTAGGAACATTATGGTGTTGAATGTAGAGTAAACTGGTGTTTGAAATGATGTGTTGTACATCTGCACATATCAAAAAAGGAGTTTAATTTCCTAATTTGTTTTGGATCTTGCCCCCCTCTCCTCATGTTCATCCCTATTTTATTTTCTTCCTTTTGTGTCTATAATTGCATGTGTTATTAGAACTGGCAAGATGAGCACCTCCAGATGTATCCTACAGGAATGCAGCCAATGCTGACTCTATTCCCATGTCAGACTGCATGCCAAGTCAGTGAAGCTTGGTTGTCAAAACCTATACCCTTTCTGCACTGCTTCTAAACCCATCTTCTCACATAATATTTCGGCACAGGGTGACTCATGATAACCTCAAGAATTATCCCAAGCTAAGAATGTGTCTTTTACTGTGTTGAAACATCCCTGTTAAAAGTAGGATTTTGAAATGGTATGGCCAAGGCAGCTTTCCTTATTCTTCTGTCAGATGAAAGGAGCTGAGGGGTTTGTAATCTGTGTGTTGAACCTTTCACTGGGTTTTGTGTTTTCTTTTTTTTTTTTCAACATACTCTGAATTTTTATGCACTTTGAATACAAAGGAAAAATGTTCATTTATTTCACTAAACATAATGCATTTTGTGTAGTGATTTCTAGCAAGGAGACAACTTCTCTTCCTTTTGGGGAAAAATATATTAATTTTAGTTATTATTTTACAGGTATCAGGCGACAGCATATCAATGATGCTCCTTCTACAGGATCTTTTCCTAATTGGAGATCTATACTATCACCAACACGGCCTTCCACAGAAACTAAGACTTCCTCAATAGCTGATATTTCTATGGGGCAGACTTTGGAGAATGCAGACTTGCTTCAGATGATAAAAACCACGCTGACTGGCACACGTACCAGGACTTTGGATCAAATGCATCTGTTGCCCACTCTGTATCAAGGCAGTGGAAACAGTGCATCCCAGGAACCTGCTGAAGTTTCAGCTGAGTCGCCTCTGAGGTCATCATCTCAAGATGCAGATGAAACAGGTTTGCCTCAACTTGGTATGTTTGCCACATTGTCCCCTACACCATTCGGGTACAGCTGTGCCACTTCAGCTAATGCCATTAAAAACACCCTCCATTTCAAAAGAAAGCTCATCAGGATCAGTCATGCTTGCTCCTGTTCCATCACCATCATTCTTCCTCATTGGTAATTCGGTCACCTCATACCATTAACTTTTCTAAACCAGCTGTACTGCCCATCAAAGTGCCTTTGTCTGCAGATCCTGAAGGTTTCGTCAACACAGATTCAGCCAGCTCACAGGTTAGTGAAAGCAGAAGTAGTCCTCTAAGTGTGGTACATTCCAGTGTGGTGAATCACAGGAGGGGTCCCCAGTTCTTTACAGGGGCCAGGCCTTTCATTGGATTGACAGCAGTGCATTTCATAGAAATAGTGGGAAAAGGGTCTCCTTTAGAAAGAACCTCTTTTTCATCTATATACTCTGATATTCCTGTGTCAAAAATGCATCAGTCTCCCCTGACAGGAACTTCCAAAAGCTTGTCATGGTTACCTAATGAGAGTCTGTGTAATGTGTCTTCTATTGGAGTAAAACCAAACACTCGGCCATTTAGGGCAGCACTGACTGACAGAAGTAGTGATATCACTCTTCTGTCACCATCAGCTTTTCAGGATAAAGTAGAGTCCCTACATCACTCTTCCATCCTGTGGTTACTCCACATCTAGTACTGCAAATGAGTCATCCTCAGTCTTTCACAGCACTGACTAATTACACTACAGGCTCTACCCCCCTCTACCTTTCATGTCATCAGCTTCTGAGAGCCTGGCTGAGGTCTCCAGCTCAACTGAGAGCACGTCTTCCCTTTCACTGCCAATATAACTTGTTCCAGATGCAAAGCACACTCGCAGTGCAGTGCTGCCAGCCCGAGCGTTTAGAAGCAAAACAGATTTGCTCTTTAGAAATGCAACACGCTCCTCTCCAACAAACCCAAGGTCTCCCTTGCTAACTGAGACAAATGATGTGTTTACTAGGATAGCACTCAGAAACGGTCCCAGGGCAGCAGCAGCCGACCAGGATACATTGCAAATCCCTTCGACTGCTGTCTCACAGCGCTCGGCGGTGGCTCTGAATCAGACTTCTGCAGAAGACCTGACTGATGGATCTTATCAGACAAACAGCATGTAATTGCCAACTGCTCCTGCCTCTACTCTCCCAACTCCTGGTGGCTTTCCTGTGGCAAGAAAAGCGCAACAGCCTTTTACGAGAGGAGTGACAGCAAAGATGTCCATGAACTTTAATGCTAATAATGTTCTGCCTTATGGAACTCAGCTTTCCAAAGTTTCTCCAGACATCCAAACCAGTATACTCTGCATAGGATCAAGAATACTAAGCACTGTTTTGGAAATGGCCATGACTAGTCTTGATCTAGCTGCAGTGCCATTAATTCCTTTTACTACAGGCCTTTCAAAATCTGAAACTGCTGTCACAAATACCTCTGCCACTAATGTTTTTTGTGACTGCACATCTTCCACCTGCAGATGCAGAAAGCCCAGATGTTAAGTGAAGACAGAAAGATGAGAGTGCCCACTGTTGTGACCACACATGCAGAATATTCACCTCTGGGAGCTTTAAGTCATTTAACCTCTGATCAGACTTTGCGTTCAGTTGATAAAAAGCCACTCGCCTGTCATGCCTCCAGCGTGGAGTGTGCTGCCATCACTTGTTTCCATGACAACATGATGGACAGCCACAGTTCTGGCTCTTCCAGGATTTCGAATGCAGACTTTGAAAGCAATTTAGATCCTGTCAGCCCTCCTCAAGTCATAACTTCAGCTTCTACGTGGACCAGTAAAGCTTTGCTGTCTTCAGCTGGCATTAGTATTCCTTTGGTAAAAACTTCAGTCCAAATGGCAATAAGAGAAGTTCCTTCAAGTACTTCTCCATGGGAAGCTGAGCATCACGCACCACACTTGGTAGTTTCAAGTCTGCAAAACAAAATTAATACAAATAGGCAGCCACTCTTCTCCACCCCTTCAGCAAACTATACTTAGGCATGCTATAGTCAAAATGTTTCAAATTTACCCTTTGCTGAAAAGAATAGTTTTTCAGAATTAGATACATTTGCGCTGAAAACATCTCCTGTTCAATATTCATTCCTTGTTACAGCACTGACAGTGCCTGACCTCTTGCAAAAAAAGGCATGGAAGGAAGCAAGCCTGGAAATGTTGCTAATTTCTTCACTCTTGGAGATGTTCATATCAGTATACACGATAAAGCATCTCTGCATTTACATGTGCCTTCTGTTGATGCTGCAGGTGCTCTCCCTAGCTCTCTAGAATCCCAAACAAGTGATGCTGGAAAGATTATTTTACTGACAGAAACGTTAAACACAGCACCAGCGTTGGCTTTTCAGCTCACTGAAAACTTGACTATTTCAGCCACCAGCAAAAGCACACTGCCAGCCCAGTGCCCCTCTCCTGTAACTAAGCCTTCTGGCTCAACTGTCCTGTATAGTTTTATTTCAGAAGTCATTGGTTCTGGAAATTTGCCAGAATTTGCAGACAATCAATTAGAGTCCTCTGGTTATTTGTTTATGGTTGATAAAAATCCAGCTACATTCAGTGTAGAGTGGGGCACAAGTGCTACAAGACACAGTGTAGTTCCCAGTAATATATCTAATAAAATTACCAAGGGCATCCCATTGCAAACCCTGACCACCAGTGCTCTGCAGTCAGTCATCATAACTTCTGTCCATGCATCACCAACACAGCTAGAGTCTCCTTTTTTGCCAAAAACCAACTTTACCCATTCTGTCCTTACAGTGTTATCTGGAATATCTTCTGGTGCAATACCTACAGTAGGAACTTCAGAAGCAAAACCACTAACAAGAAAATCATCTCCAGCTTCACCAGTGCCAGCTTCTTCCTTCTTTTCTCTAGGCACTGAAAACACACCTTTGCCATCTGTGATGGCTTTAAGCACACCGACACTGACCCTAACAAAAAATAACACTGCCACAAAATTGACATCGGACCTAAGCTCAGTAGGAACACGTGCAGATTTTCCTTTTGCAACGAGAAACACAACTGCATCACCTGTGGACGTGACAGCCCTGCTCATAACCCCTAAAAGCAGCACGGTCACAGCCTCCACACCCGCACCCACAACCCATGTACCAAGGCAGATAGAAACCACAGTAACTGACACCCAGAAGTTCCCGAGCTCAGACATCACCAAAACGTCAACCCCCTACCCACTGACAATTACAGCAGCTTTGACATCTATTACAGCATCAGCGAAAACAACTAGGCTTCCCCCTACTCCAGTGGAAAACTCCTCTGCTCCCTCTGAAACCACAGCAGCAGCGGCTTTCGCTAACATGACAGCAGCTCCCCCCCTGGACTGCCGGCTCTCCGACAACCTTATGGTTAAAACAGGTATGTGGGGACACTCCATTTGCTGAAAGGGCCTCGTGTGTCTGTGAGGGGCAGCTGGTGAGGAGTGAGAAATGCACTCCAGCGTCAAAGAACGTGGGGGCATTCGTGATTAATCTGGCGATGAGGCTGCTGCACTGACAAACCAGGTGGATAAAAGCAGGGTTGTTAGATAGGAGTGGCAGTGGCTTTATTCGGGGCTTGGATTTTGCAATGAATGCGTCAGAAGAAGTGGTGAGATCATCAGGTGCTCTGAAGTTCAGCAGGTCACTGCAGGGATTTAGCAGAACCACCTGTGTGGAGGGACAACCCGGTGAGATGTGGTGGTTTGGTCTCTGCTTTGCAGTGAGGAGTCTGTTACTGAAGGGGACAGTGCAGGAACCTGCCTCAGTCTTCGGCCCTCTTTACATGCAAATACCTAATTATGTTTTAAAATGAACGCCTAATGCTGTCATTAAAGTTTCATTTGAAAATAATAAGCATTCAGAATTTCATGCTTCAAAATGGGAGGATTTTGAGCTCTCTGCAAACAGTGCCACTTCTGGCTCTAGCTGTTTTTTTCATGGACAGTTTTTCCTTAGCTATAAGAAGTCTGAACTGAAGGGGTCAGATAGGTCCCTTGCCCAGGCTTATGGTAGCACAGTGCAGCACCAGGAGATGTGTGCATCTCAAAGATCTCAGCAAAGAAGAATAGCTATAAAAAAATGGTTTATGATCTTGTATAGACCTGAGTGGTACAAGGTGAAATGAAATAAGCAGCTTTTGGACCTAATGTGTGTTTGATAGCTGCTAAATATCTACATCAGTAGTGTGATGAGTACAGCAACTATTTCTAAACATAGAAGTAGCTTGTATACAGTATAGGATTGAAAGTACTCAAGTGCAACTGTAAAGCTCTTTCTGCAAATTATAAGAGAAAAAGATAGTGATAATGTTAATAAAGAGAGTGTACAGATGCTTCCTAAATGGAAAAATAATTGTAGCAGTGGAGAAACACATTTCTGTGTTTATTTAACTGTGGCCATGAAGATGTGAAGCCTGCCTGTGCAGCAGGCAGCTCAGTCCCCTGGGAATGCTGCACCAGTCTGTCCGTGGGCAGTCGAGTTGCCTCATACCTCACTTGGAAAGGCAGCTTGGCAAAGACTTGTTGTTGCTGAAGAAATTGAATTTGTTAGACCTTGCTCTGGAAACAATGGGCTATTGCCATGGGATGGATAGGGAGCTCAGGACGCTGCTGAGGCCCTGCAGTTCTGTCTTTGGAGCTGCTGCTAATCCTGCAGCTGCTTTTATGATCCCTGCACAGCCAGCCCCACGTAAAAACAATTAGAGGAAGTAAACGAGAGCGTGGTGATGTCTCAAACCACCATGTGGCTTTTGTTGCTCCACAGTTCTGTTTCTGAACACAAGGAGGATGATGATCAGCAATGCCTTCAGGGAGATGGTGAGAAAAGGACTCAACCAAGTGCTGAGACAAGCGTTCAACCAAAACGTCAGTGCTCAGGTAAGCATGCATGGCTTGCCTTCGTGATCTCACTGAAACACCTCTCCCACCAAAGGAATCCCAGCTGGCTGCAGCCCTAGTGGTATCTCTGGTTGCAGGAAGCCCCTTTGAGGGGAGCAGTGAGCTTCTCCTATGGAGAACAGGCATAGGCAGCACCCACTCTGGGCTCTAAAAACATAAGGAGTATTCCAAAGCTTTTACCAGTTTATTTGATGAAGAAGAAGAGAGAAATGCAGACTTCTTTTTAGTGTGTTCTGGGAAACGATTACTGACAGCAGTGTCCTCTCCCCCCTGCAGCTCAGGAGTGACTCCTGACTCACAGGCAGCTGAGTGCTGTTCTGCTCAGCTTGGATCAATGGCAACAGCATGGCTGGTAAATGGGATGTCAGTGCTGTCAGTCTGCTCCCTGGTTTGAAAACCTGGTACCTGACAAGTGCGATTCCACGGGGATGAAAATCCAGAGCAGGGAGAAAGCACATTTTATTGAAAATAAATGGAGGTGATGTGTTCATCACTTTGCAGCTAAATTGCAGGCACCTCTGCACTGCTGTGTGTGAGAGCAGGCTCGGATGGGCTGCTGGGGTGCTTTTCTCTGGGACACAGGTTCCTGTTCACTTAGGTAGGGATTTGTGTTATAAGTTATCCTTACCAAGCCCCTGAGAAAGAAGAAAGCAATTTTGCTCAAAATAGAGGGCACCAAGTTGACTTCAGTCCCCACGCTTTATTGCTGCAAGTGCGGACCATGTTAGTTGGTTTGGGAATTGTGTGTTCCCGAGTCTTGGCAGGAGCAATAAAAACTGTCAGGTTTTGTCCCCTACCTTTTTGTAAACTTGAGAGGAGCTGCCTTTTGGTTGCCAGCTAAAACCTAGTGGGGAGGACCAGTTCCAGGGCTAAAACTCTGTGGAAAATACAGAGTTCAGAGGTAAAACTCAACTCATGTTTTGGCTCATAGTGTGTTCATTCTTGTGGTTTGTTATTTCCACTCCTGTAGGTCCACTTGCAGACTGGACAGTATAGCAAAACAGTATAGAAGTGATAGCCCAATCAAATATTGAAAACTTTTACCTTTGAAAAATCTGCCTTCAAACTTGCAGTGACAGACACATGCACAAAGTCAGTGAACTTCAGGCATGAAGTAGGAGCTGGAGTTTCTCTGGATTCTCTGTATTTTTACATGCATAATTAAAATATCCCAGTATCTGTACATGAATGAAGCCCCAGCCTAAACTGGAGGTGTGACAGCTCTAGTAGCAATACTGCACTGCTTCAATTCAGAGCACATGCTGCGAGGGCTGGGCCTGAAGCTCTCTGAGCAGCTCTGCTAACACTGTGTCTGACACGACACTAACTGATCCCATGGGGTTTATAGGGGATTACAGGATAAAAACCCCGCAAGGAACCCATATTAAGCATGAGAAAAGTCCCATCAAATAGCGATAGAAATGTGCTTCCCTGCGTGTGTCTTAGGTTGAAATCCTGGAGCAATCGAGTAACCTAACGGTTGGTTACTACGTTACACGGGGGAGGCTGGTTTTCATCCCGGCTGCTGTCACCGAAAGGCTCCTGGCGTACGGCATCAGCAACGCCACGGCAGACATCAAGCAGCACGTGCCACATCTCCAGGCCGTGGTGGCCCTGGCCTTGCCGTGGAAACCCCTTCCCGCGTACCACTTCCAGCTGAAAACAGGTGAGCCGCGTCCCGCCTGCCCTGGGGTGGTCTGTGAGTTTGTGGTTCGGTGCCCAGGGACGGTTCCTGCCTCAGCCCCTGCTCTCCAGTGCGGTGATGTGGCAGCAGGACGAGCTCTGCTTTGGTTTCCTGGCACAAGCAGGACAGCCAGTGTGGGCATCCCAGTCCTTCCCGGCGCTCTGCTGTCACAGCCATTGGCACTGTTGTTGTGAGGTGAAGTGGCTTTGCATTAGGGATGAGTCACACCGATACGCTTGACTAACACTTGGCATTTGGTTAAATGGACTTCAGTTGATGGATTGTGCAGTAACCTGTGTGTTCCTTCTGGGGACAATCAGATGAGAAACATGACTATAGGATATATATACACACACACACACACTGTTCTGGCTGGACCTATCTGACCTAGGTCCCAGCTGTCTGACCCAGGGTCACTGTTTAACCCTCTGTGCTGTACCAAGCATCACTGCAGACTAATTGCAGTGCAGTATAAGCTGTGAGAGGGCAGAGAGTGCTGTAAAACAATATATTAAATTATAAAAAGATTTCTTATGTCTGTGCTCACATGTTTATATACACACAATGCAATTAACAAGTTAGGTACGTTTTTCTTAGAATCAAACAGAGTGAGAATCAATATTGTGATTGATTGTTTTGCAAGAGCAAATGACCTGCAAGATTTAAGACTGTAACTTGTCTTTTAGAATAATTTCACTACTGCCTGGCTCTGAGTAAATATATGCACAGTGAACTGGTCTTACCATCTTATATATTACTGCAGAAACAATCTCCACTTGTTTATGGAGAGTATCAGCTCTAATAATGCAATTTAACTCTTACATTTTGTCTTAATTAAGGCTCGTTTAGTGCATTGCCTGAATGCCATCAACTGATCTTATGTGGCATTAACTTCACCTGCTTAATTTGTTAATTGATCATTTTGCTCTTGGCATTGGAGGATTTATGCAACTGAGAATACTTTGGCCACACGCTACTATGTTCCTTTTCCAGAGCTGCAGTTTGTGGGTCAAACAGACAATATTCAGTCATGCAAATTTATTCAGACCATGGAACAGCGACTACAGAGGGCATTTCAGGATGCTGAAAGAAAGGTCCTGAACACCAGCAACAACTTAACAGTTCAGGTACTATGTTGTGTTGCTTTACCAGTGCCTGTTGCCAAACTCTCTGGGTCATTCTTTATTATTCTTTGTGTTTGTATTTCAACATAGTGCCTTGGCTAGCCACTGTGGGAGGAAGTTCATGCTTTCATCTGAAATAAGATAGTTTTATGTATTGCAGGAGAACTTATAAATGGATGATTTATAGAAGACAGGTACTTTTTATGAGTTTGAGTTTTACTGTTTGCAGTTAAGTCATTCAAATGAAATTCAAATAAAAACAAATGTATATTCTTCCAAAGTTATATTTTTACTGAACATGTTATTCTGGCATGTTAGTTGCTTTCGCTGTGGCTATTCAGGTATAAGGATGGTGACAGGCATAGCTGTTTGTAAGATCTGAGCTAATGGAATATAATTCGTTCTCTTTTTTTGGTGTGCATTCGGTTCCATACTCGCCGACAGACACAAATTCACCACTAAGGACTTGATTTTTGCAGACATTTATATGTATAGAGGGCCAACACCCTTATGCTCTGTGCCATACTTCAGGAAAAAAGAAATTTTCCTCTGGGTGATATTATATGTATTTGACTCACGATAAAACTCTGTGTATGGACTTGTGCTCCTCAGAATGGTTTGTACGTAACTTTCCAGAAGGAGAAAATTGGCTGTCGGGGCTCTCCTCAGTTACTTTGGTGCAGAGAAGGCACAAAAGTGCATGGAAACAGATGACCTACCACAGTAGGTAAAGGGATTATCAGGCTTTTCGATAGCTGGACCTGTGGCACTCAGGGGAACTTCGTGGTGACTAATTTGCTTGAAGTGGAAAAGGCAGATCTCACAAAGCACCTAAGCAATTTTGTAAAGAGCCCTAGTAGAAGGTGGTAGTTGGGTTTTTTTTTTTTGTGGGTATTTCCAATTTAAGAAGAGATAGGATGGAGGTCTTGGAGGCAAGATATAAGCTGGGAAGTAAGAGGCTCAAGGGTGTGATCTTCATGATAAATTTTTCTGAAATCGTTTTTCAGTGCCATGCAACAGGCTAAGTGCAGCAGAAAATGGTATGAGGGTTTTAGATTAATTACAAACTGAGGAACAGCTCTGAAGCAGACAGAGCCAATTCAGAAAAGGCATTGCTGCACTTACAAGAGCAGAGGGAAGGGTGCAAGGGGGGTAAAAGGCGTGAAGCAACTTCCGTGCAAGGAGGAATGAAACTGGCCATGGTTCTCCAACCATGAGTGCTGTAGTGAATCAAGAGTGATCACTTGGAGCTTCCCATAACAGAACTACTCATATTTAAGAATCCTTAGGAAGAGTCCTTTCACACAGTGGGTGATAAAGATGCTACTGGAGAAAAAACCTGGAAATTACAAAAAGCAATTGGCCAAAAATATACAATAAAAAGTCATCAGCCCTGTTTAAACCCAAGCATATGACTTGTGGCTCAGACCAGAGCTGTGGGCTAACCTTACACTGCTGAAAGCAGTCTTCTCTTCTTCTGTGCTCACTCTCCAACCATTTGTTCCTGGCCACTGGTGAGCCAATTGTCTAAGTGGACATTGGCTACACAGACCTTTGGTCTGACCTCAAACTCTTCTGATGTTTTTATTATACCGTGCTTTCTGTTTTTACTTGGTGATCCAGATGATAAAACCGGAGTATTTAAATAACATTCATGAATGCTGTTGGTCCTACCTATGTCTAGCCAAAAAAAAAAAATCCTTCTTGTCCTAGGACGTAAGTTTTCTGAGAAAACATATTTTGATGGTGGCTTTTTTTTGTTCCTGCCCTGCCTTTTCCTCTCTGCTTCCTACATGAAACTGGTGTCTGAGGAGATGATCCAGTAGTTGCTAATTAGAATTGGTCCTTAAATGCAGTCTTCAGGTTTGGGCTCAGGAAGAGATGGGCATAGAGCTAACCTGGGAAGAGAGCAGGTAGTGATATGATGCTAGGAACAGAAGAGACATGATATCCCTTTATTTAGTATGGAAAAGGTGTGGATGTAGATAACTGTACTAGGAAGGCAGCAAAGACAGCAAGACATACAGGTCAATTCCTCTGCATCAAGCAATGGACAATTTTTCTGATAAGAACCCTCTCCTTCATCTTACATTTCTTGATAAAACCAGGGAAAAGTAGTTTCAGTCCTGACTGCATCCTTTCTGCCTGCTGCTGTCCTCCAGGAACTCTGCATGTGCTAAAGTAGGGATTAAAGTATCACACAAGTAAAGTTTTACACAATCATGTTGAATGAGACCTATCTAATCCGCTGTTCAAGTTAAGGTTTCCCCAGTTTGTTTGCAGTGGCTGGGTTGTTGTTTTTGTTTGGTTGGTTTTGTTTGGGCTTTTGCGTGTTTGTTTTTCAGGGTTTTGTTTGTTTGGGGGATTTATTTGTTTTCGGTTTTGGTGGGTTGTTTTTTGTGTTGGTGTCTTTTTGTTGCTGAAACACAGCAACACGTTATTTCTGCCTCTGTTTCAGATTTTGAACACTTCCAACGTCTCCCAAGCTGTCACTCTGTTTTACGTAGTGAACAATCGAAGCACAACTCTAAATGGCACTATTTCCAGCAACCTTCTTAATCAGCTGTCAGCTGAGCTGGTGGGGTTCTACCTCACCTACCCACCTCTCACCATTGCTGAATGTAAGTATGTGCTTCCCAGCACGCAGCTCTTTAACATTAGCCAGCACCAGGCTAATGTTTGGCAAGCGCCCTAAGCTGTCAAACTCACAGATTGCAGGTGGTTTTTCTGACTATTTTAAAAATATTTTTTTATTAAAAAAAAAAAGGAGAGGGGGACCCAGGTGGTTATTTTTTTTTTTTCTAGGTTCAGTGTTTACTTTGGCTGCTAGGAGCAATGTCAAATAATCAAGAAAAACACATATAAACTGTCATTGGTAAAAAAAAAAATCCAACTCTGTGACAGGTTCCAAACAAAATAAAATGGTGGTTTTATGTAAAACAAAGCACAGAAGGTCCCCAGTTCCTCATTTCAGGAAAGCTTAGCACAGCACATGAACTTGAGCTTCAGCATAGCCCTTTACTTCAGTAGAAGCCTCAACCCCTGTGCTTGCTCCAGTGGCTGGGCTAAGATCAGGTTGTGAGTGTGTGTTTGGGCAGTGGGTAAGCTCTAGCCACGCTTCTTTGTTTGAGAAGTTGTTGGTGTATTTGCTGAATTTCATCCTCTGATGAAAAGTGGTCAGAGCTCTTTAGCATCAATAGTTTGCTTGCATTCCAGTTGTTAGGAAGGCTCTGAGGTACAGAGAGCTGGAGACAATTGTGTGGTATATATGCTTTCCGACTCTGCTAATGTCTCTGAAATGATTAAAGGGACAAGACTTTTGATTATGGGGATTTCTGTTTAATCTGCTTGTTAATGTGATGTGTGAAATTAAGCTTACTGCAGAGACAGGTTATCTCCAGGTTCACTGGAGATCAGTGTTCACTGGAAGTGAGAAGAGACAGGGACATGCTGGTAAATCGGTGCATGGTAATGGACTGGTAAAGGAAGGGCAGGTTTCAGCTGATCTCACTGTGTGTAAATCTTCATCAGATGCTTGTTAGATTTGAAATACTGTGTTCAAACACCAGTAAAGATCTGGTTAAGCTTCTGGTAGCTTTCAAACTCACTGCCAAGGCTATGCAGTGGTTTGTAATTTTGCATTCCACGAGCATTGAAATAATTGGGCACATAAGGGTAGAGTCAAATTTGCCTTTATGATCGGAACTCTGAACTGAGTGGATTTGTAGCTTTAGGTAAAATTACCAAAATGCATGTTCATTTTCTGATTCTAAGAAAAAGCAGAAGCAGACTATTGGAAAGGGAGCGCTGGGGAAAACACAAGTTATCTTTTTTCGTTGGTCCATTTTGTTTGCAAACAGCCCAATAGCAGAGGAGTTCTCTAGTGCAATTGTTCATGAGCGACTTGCACAATGAGCTGTCTGTGGGATAAGTGGTCACTCTCTGCTGTGAGGCAGTCAGGAATCACAGCTAACTGTGGTGATTGTGCAGATCTGTAGAAAAGGAGGCGTGTATGTTATTCTTGAGGCATTAGCTATCAGATTATGGTATTTGCAAACAAATAGGTGAAACTGCCCAATGATGAGCTCTTGAGCTGCGTTGGTGCACTTTTGTATCAGAGTTTCCATCACAAGGTAAGAGACACATCTCAAGGTAGGCTTGTGTTTTCACAGTCTTTCCACAGGCAAGAGGAGGTGGAGGGAGGCTGTTGACAAAGGAAGGGATGTAGCCCATTCCTTATCAGACAGGATCCTTCCCTTTCATGGCTGGAAGGTGAACCTGTCTGTCGAGTGCCCTTTGTGCAGGACTTGTCTTCATGGGGCATCCAGGAGCACAGGGAGAAAGCTGGAGGAAGTTTTGATGATGGCTGTGCTCAGTTCAAGTGTTCAGGCTCCAAAATAGGTCTGTTGCATAGGAAGAGGATGATGGTGCTTCTCACAAAGGCAACGCAGGCATATGCTTAGTAGTCAGGAGCTGTGAAAGCCATTTGTCACACCGCAAGACTTTTGTGGTACTGCAGTTCTCTGTTGATCCCCACACATAATGGAGAGACCTGATAAAAGTCTTTAGCTGGTGCTTCTTTAACAACTAATGGCTTATATTTCATTTTGGAGTTCTTGGTTTTATTCCCAGTGCAGCAGCTGTACTGCAAACTCAGAACTTAATGCAAGCGTAGTGTTTATGGCACCAGACTGATAGTGTGTCTGGAAAATGTTTCCTTTGAAGAGCGTTTGATGCTTATTCATGTGGCAGTGTTGTTGTTTCAGTTTATCAAACAAATACTGCGGTTGTTCTCAGAGCATGTTATTTCCCAGTAGGCTCCAGTGGCTCTTCCAGAGCCTTTGCAATCTGTCATGGAAATGCACAGCTCAGGGCACGCTGTGAAATCCCTCCTCAAAAGCAGTTCCTGTGCGTAATCAGATCCTCTACAATGTTTACTATTTCACGCCACTTTGGTGTTTAAAAATCAAGGTAACTCAATAGCAGCACATCAGTGTGCAAAGCATGGATATTTTCTGAATTAAGTTCCTAGTATTAATGCTTTCCACGTTGCATAAATCTATTGAGAAAAATGCTGAGCTGTATAATGAATTAGCAGCATATTGAGCTTTACAGCCTAATGCACTTTGGAGATGGAGAAGCAAACAAAAGGCACCAAAATGGCAAATATCAGTTTCTCACAGATGTAAACACATATGGTAGTAATACCTTAAATGGTGTAGAGTGAGAGAGAGCACCACACTCCAAGGTGTGTTTGCAGTTTTGTTAGTCTCGTTTGTAATTCATGTGGAGTCTGATCCTGGTTTATTTTAGCACTATTTTAGGTTAAAACTGTGGTCTGGGTTACATAAGGATTAATCAGAGAAGCAACATGGAATCCTATCCTGTTTTCTGCAGGGGATAAAGCAGCAGAAATGTATAGAACATGGACACACACCTGTTACCTATCATTCCTGGTACTGGACAATCCTGGGCTTTGCCCCAGACAATGTACAAGCCAGCATTTGGGCAACAGGAGATGTATGTTCTACTTTGTATGGCAGCGCCTCTTCTGTTTACACTTAATGTTCTTTTTCAGAGAGAAGAGAAATCGTAACACTGAAAATTATGCCTCTAGATCTCCTCTTGGGCCACAGTTCAATTTATTTATCACTGTCTAGTTAGCCAGTTTCAGGGCATGTAATGTATAGGATGTTGGAATGTTATGACATAATTTCAACGCTTTTATTTTTAAAGCTTTGGAGTATCCAAACCTCGATGTCTCGGAGTCAACTAGAGACTACTGGGTGATAACAGGTACTTTTTAATCTCCTTCCCTCCCCCATGCACTCCAGGTGATAATTTTTAGTGTTTGTTTACATAAACACATCAGTGCAGTATTTTTAGACAAAAATAAGTGGCTGCCCACTGAAGCTGCCTGTTGCACTCAACTGGGCAAATGTATTTACAGTCACTCTGGGGCATAACTGATTCATCATCCTGAACGGCCTCATCTCCTGCATCCAACACCCGCCTCAGAATTTATAGCACTTTGGTTTAAGCACTTCTGGGAGCAGCATTATCTTCTCAGAGTTTTGAAACACAAATAGACTGTTTGTTAGGTTTTTTTCTTTCCCTGGGTCTTGGATTTAAATCTGAATTCACAAGTCAAAAGAGACTTGTAGACATAGCCCAGGAAGAAAGGTGAGCTATTAAACCAAGGAAGTTTGTTATGATTTGCTGACTGTCTGGGTCTGGAGATTTTTGCCTTTTCATCCAAAACATTAGGCACATAACTTTCTGTTGGTGGAAAAGAAGGTGCAGAGAATGCTCAGAGGCTTCAAAATACTTTCTTTATGAAGTCATTTCACTGGTACCACATTCTCATTCACAACCATTTTGACTTCAGAAATGATAACTGGGCAAGAAAGAGACCCTTTCCCCCAGACATCTTTCAGTGAGTAGATAGCAAAGCCTTTTTAATTGGTGTGTCTGCACCTGGAATTGTTTAATGCTCAGGAGAGCAAGCGAAAAGGAGTCTGACATGAAACGGATTTGATGCCTGTTATATCTATTCATAAATTTGATATAAAATGTCTATGCAGAGATTATGACCCTCTGAGAGAGTGCTACTGCTCTTCCCCATATGGGCCCTGATAATCTCATCCTTCATTTCTTGCCTCTGTGCACCTACTGCAATGGAGTAGTATTGATATTACACTGGAAACTTTGTTTTCAAAAAAAATCACGGTGGTCCCAGTAGATTTTTTTTTTTAAATAATATTGAAAAGATCATACATATGTATGAATTGAATCATCATGCCATATCACTTTTTTGAACTTTATGTTAATCCAGTGTCTTCTAAATTTTACATTCATTTATGCTTCAGAAATGTTTATTCAGTTTTTGGTGCTCTCAAACCAGGGTATTTTGTTTCAAACTGAGTTGTACAAAATCCTAACTTCTGATTTCAAATCTGCAGGAGGGGAGTTTGGTTTGGTTTACAGGAGCATCTGGCAATAAGCATTAAACCAGCAGCTTGCAAATAGGTTTTAACTTACTTTTTACATTGAAGATCATAGATTAGGTGCTTCCCAGAGCCACTTTGGTAAACTGAAGGCCTAAAAATGCTTTTTGAGGATTTTATTCTCTGAAACATGACTGACATTATCTGAGAAGAACAGTGCAGGGGCTGAAATAGAAGGGTGTTAGGTACACATTGGGAATTCCTGAGGGGGTGTAACAGTGCCCAGGTATTTTTATTCTAAGCTGGTCAGTACCTTCCATAGAACACGTGTTTATTTTACCCGTCCACGTAAGATACGTGCTGATATGTGGTTCTTCTCCCTTCATTCCCACAGTTATTCAAGGGGTCGATATGGCCTTACTGGGGCTGAACAACCAGAGCTTTGCCCGGCTGATGGAGCAGCGCTTGGCCCCGCTGTTCATGATGTCCCACCAGCAAGGGAGGCGATTCAAACGTGCCACCACCGTGGGCAGCTACACTGTGCAGGTGGTCAATGCCGCGCCGGTTGCACCTGGATATGTGTTAAAAAAAACCCACCAGGGCTTTGCTTTCACGTGTCCAGCTTCAGTTTGTGTAAAAGATGTGCCTAACTGGGTCGAGATTTCCTGTGTTGTTGTTTTTTTTTTTTTTCTCCAGAACATCAAAGCGGCAAGGGCGAAATGCGTGGCATTAATGATCATGTCTTTTTCTGCAGTCAGCCCCTCATCTTCTAGAAATCATCATTAGTTAATCAGTGTTAATAAATATTTTCTCTCTGGTTGCTATGAGGATTGGTACAAAGTACATGTTTTAGCGTAAAGTCTCGTATTCAGCATAATGAAGAGTTCCAAGCTTTTATTCATCAAAAAAGTTTCCTAGGTAACTCAGAGCTAGAACTTCTTTTTTGTTGGGAAAAAAATGTAAGAGGCAGCCTTTCTGCAGGGTTAGTCATCAAACCATGTGGCCACAGATCACATGAAGTAGAGATTTTAGACCTGAATAATTTATTAATCATCTTTCTCTTATTTACAGCATTTCACATTCAGTATTTTGAAATGGTCATATTTTGTTTTCTTACCAATTAAGCCAACTGTTATTACGGACAATTGAAATATATGTTCTTCAGTCTTCAAAAATTAGACAACAAGGTGTTGCTTTTTCAAAAAGTTACATTATATTTTTCAATAATTGATTGCTGTGAGATATAAACCCAAGCTACTACTTTTGTCATTTGCCCACAGTTCTTTGTGTTTTCCCACTGAAAGAATTTGAAGAAGGAACATGTTTTGCTTGCCAGAAGTGTGAATCTTTGTAAAATTTTAGTCCATACTGTAATGGAGAAGAATCATAAAACTCCTTTTCTTCTCATCATTAGAAATGTTTGACACTTTCTCTACTCTCAGGAAAGATAGAGGTACAATGTGAAAATTCTGACAGTGTTCTGCAGAATAAAATGGGAAAAAACATGGTTCTCTTTATTATCAGCCTGGGATAAAAAATAATGAGGATAGAAGTGAAGTATGAGGATATTTTTCAACTGCAAAATGTACTAACAGTAGGTTAGGACAGATTATTAAGAATTCCTTTTTACAGAGGACTGTAATGTCCAAACATTTGACCCTTTCCTCCTTTTTACTGCATGCTTTTTTTAGAGTTTTACTTTAGGATTGTATTTAAATGTTTTTTTAAGAAGTCAGTCAGTCCTCTGACTGACTGAGTTAGCCTGGGCTATGAAGGGGAGAAGCTCTGATCCCGTGAGAACATTTTCATGGAGCTTATGCTTGTAGGAGGTCTCGGAGGAGTTCCCTGTGGGCACTGCCTTTAGGTAGCTGCTGGCAAGTTTTGCCATGGTATAATGCAAACACAATTTATTTCTCCTTCTCTCATTATTTATTTATTTATTTCCCTTAAAGATGGTAAAAATTCAACGTATCCCAGGCCCCAAGGAGCCGGCTGAACTGACCTATTACACTTTATACAATGGGAAGCCTTTGCTGGGCACTGCAGCTGCCAAAATTTTGAGCACCGTTGACTCCCAGCGCATGGCCTTGACCCTGGGCTATGTCATCCAAGTCCAAGCTGATCGTAAGAGTTCTTTTAAAAATTCTGTAGCTTAATCCTTTTTTTCTATTCTGTTGTTTGTCTTTCTTCCTTTCTTTCTTTCTTTGTGAAAACACCAGTGTAGATGTGGGAAACCTGCACTTATCACACAGAGTAACATCCACGGGCTGAACATTATGGAACAGTAAAGTTGGAATTAATTCTGATGATGGCTGGGGCAAAGTTGCTATTCAAATAACTTACCCCAAAGTCAAATGTGGGGGCTATTAAGAAGTCCTTTGTTTTTGACTTGCTCAAGATAACGTAGGTTCTGTCTCAAAGGGATTATTATTTTTTTTTAAATAATAATTTTCACTGAGAACTTTGTCAAGTGCACCACGTGGTTGTTAAAGGTGTTGTTTAGACACAAATCAGAAAAGTGAAGTTGAAAAGAACTACTTGTGTGTATGGACAGTTTTCAGATTCAAGATATGATCAATATCATTCAGAATAATGTGGCTAAAAAGGAATCCATTCTTGAAAAGTAAAGGTCTTTCAAGACCTTCATCAGTTACTGAGTTACTGTGGACACAAATTTCTCTAAATTTTTTTTTTTTTTGATATTCCTGTGTAGTTGACCCACAGTCATAAACCTGTGGTGGAGCTTTGGAGCCTTTTTTTTTTTGTGCAGTTAAGAGCTTAATGTACAAATTGATGCCTTTAGCTAACTGAGTCTCTCTACTTTGCCAAGGTTTTTATCTAGATGAAATTAAAATGATATAGTGGACTTCTTTATTGGATCTCCTTACTGACAAAACAGCATATAAAATGGGTCTCTCTGGTGCAATTATATCTGCTTGAAAGAGCAGTGATACTGAAATAATTACATGCAATGGTGACAGGAAAAGAAGGGACCACTGTAATAAGCAATTTATGTATCATCTATAAACATAGGATTGAGTTAGAAGGCAGAAATATGATATAATTTCCAGAGAATGCACTATGTACTGTATCTGATCCTTGATTCAATCATGGTCTGTTACTGACTTTAATTCAACTGAATAGGTTGATCTCCATCCCTGTTTCCTTAAATTCCAGCATTTAAATTCTAAATAATTCTGTTTTCTGTGAGAATATTTCTTTAATGCATTTTTTACTAAAGAAGATATAGATAATACATAGCAGTTTCCTAGCTCTTTGTGCAGTGTTGTGATTTATATGGGTATTTAGGCAATTATGACATCTGCTGCTCATCATCCAACTTTGTATTTCCATGGTCTGATGAGGCAGCCTTATTTATCTGTAGATTATCATACCAGTGAAGTATGCATAGAATACTGTACGAGAATATACAGAAATTGAAATTATGACCTGGGGTAACTGAGATTCTGAAGGCAGAGTATTTGAAATGTAGGAGGTAATTCTATCTTTATACCTTATTATGGAGAAAAAAGTCAATTGCTTTCATTTTGGACATGGTTATTTGCAGTCTGTCTTTGTATTGCCAAAGACAATACTTTGTGTGGATTTCATTTTTGCTCATTATAATTTCTTTATAGCAGAATGAAAAGCTCTGTTCCAAAATGCAGTAAGGAAACACATCTACCCTTTCGAGCTCATAGTCGGGTTAGACAAGACAGACGAATAATATCAAAAAATATGGATGTTCCCGTTTTATAAGCAAGAGACTGAGTTATAAGAGAATGAAAGGCTTGTTTCAAATTCTACTGAACTCTTATTGAGTTAAATGAACCGTGGGTTGACTTAAGGTCACATTGGAAGCTGGTAACTGAATTAAAGATGTAAACTAGGATTCCTAAATGTCTGTCCCATTAGCCATAAGGTCATCATTCCCTCTGCATTCCCTACAAAGAATAAATATAGTTTTCCAACAATTGTTTGCTGCTCCCACAGCAGCAGTCTATAATTAAAGTTACTGTTATTTGTTAAAATTCAGATTCAGTTTCCTTCCCCACAGCCCTTTCATCCCCAAACTAAATGTCAGAGTCAGCAATTAAGAATTATGCAAGTCTGTTGAAAAGTGAACCTTGAAAGGCTTCAACCTGGTTTTTTGGACAGTCTTTTTGCTCAAGTCCTATACCTAATGGTGCTGTTACTACATCACCCAACAAAGTACATTGGCTTTGCAAAAAGCTCCAAATCTACAAAGAAAACAGACTCAGGCTTCAGCCAGACTTTCAGCTTTTGGAACTGCTGCTGAACAAGCTGGTATGCATTTGAAGTCTGGTCCTGAAAGATGCTGAGTGCCTCTGACAGCTCATAAGCTCAATGACATTTGAAAGCACCAGTCCCCTGGGAAATGGGAATGGCTGCTTTGTGCTGGTATTCTCACAATTGCCTGCCCACACCAACAACCAGTGCCATAGGAAAATAAACAGAGATATCATGGTGAAGTCCACTAAATGTTTCACTACAGCAGAATTCAGCATTATAAGGAGATTATCTGATGTTTTTCCTGAAAGAAATGAAATGTAATTAGAGGACTGGGAATGTGTCACTGGAGGATCTGTTATGTGTGGAGAAGTTGAAGGTTCATACTGAGAGAGATTATTCTGATAAAATGGAATCTAAAATGTTTTTGCATCACTGCATTTCTGAAACGTACCCTTTTCCTGGTGCCATTATTAATATATCTGCAAGTAGCTCTTTCCAACCTCATTATTTCCACTCCTTCAGAAATAACGGATTCAGTTTGACCTTAACTATGATAAATTATTTCTAGAGCACAAGAGAAGCATTCTCTTATTGCCCTATTGATATTGATAATAACTATATTAGAGTGTTTAGCTTCACTGGTTTTGAAAAAGCTCTGCCACTTCACTCTTGCTGAGCCAATAAGTCTTTGACACCAGGTATGAACTTCATGTGTATTCTTTTAACACACATGCTACCTTGCTGTAAGCTGGATTTGTGGTTGAAAAATAGTTAAGGATATATTACTTACTTGCACCTTTTTTTTTGTTTGTTTATTCTGTAAATGAACCACTGGAGTAATTTCTAATATGGCATCTAACTTGATTTGGAGTGGATGGCTGCTTTTGCATATAAACTGTATTTGCATATAAATAAGAGAAGAGAGCCCAGGGATTTGTGTACTGAAGAGTGTTGCTGATTGTTCTGTTTTGTTTGTTGTTTGTTTTTTTTTTTTTAATTAAGGTATTCCTTTGTATAGAAAGCTAGATTACTTACAGTCCTTTTGTACTAATTTTTATATGGAGACGGTTGAAGACTGGAAGCAGTCAGATTGTTGCACAGTGAAGCTTACCAGTGTTGGTTTGCAATTTTCTGCAGCCGTGGTGAAGAACCCCCCAAACAACCTGTGGATCATTGCAGCGGTGCTGGCTCCCATTGCTGTGGTTACAGTCATCATCATCATCATCACAGCAGTGCTGTGCAGGAAGAACAAGAACGACTTCAAGCCGGACACCATGATGAACCTGCCTCAGAGAGCGAAGGTGAGCGACTGATCGCGGGATCCAAAAGCGTCCGTTTGCTCTCTGAGGTTGTAAACGGTTTCTCTGATAGATGTAGTTGAAGAATGTTTGGGATTGAAATGGTTGTTACTCACAGGTTGGGTCTTTACACTTCTCCTCTGTCCTTGATACCGCTGGATCCTCAGGACTCATCAGCTTCCATCACAGCTCGTCCCTTGGGTGTAGGTTGCGGTGATAGCAGAGCCCTTACACAGCCACGTCAGGCACTGAGCCATTAGGAGGCTTCACCCAGGGCAGTTGCTTCCTTCTCAAAGTTGAGGACATGGGATATTATGCCTGGGGCTTGCTTATCAGCATCACATCTCCTGTAGGATCTCAAAACCTGCTCCTACCTGCTGCAGGTGGCAGCGTCTCTGAAGCCCTGGGCTTTGGCAGCAGTTTGGACCTGGTCCCAACCAGAAGTTCTCCCCTCAGATGCTAATCCAGAATAGACATTCTTTGGATTTTTTTTTTTCTCCCACTGCTATTTTTCTCTTAGATGTTTTGAACTTTCCAATTTATTTGTGGGTATTGCTTGTTGGGTTCAAACAATTATGTTTTTCTTAAAGTTACTAACCCATATCAATTACAAGATGGGTTTTTTTCCCAAAGCAAACGCATTTCCAGTTTGATTCTCTAACAGAAAATGGCACAGAATACTGATTTGTCTCCACAGTGAAAAGTCTGCCTTTTCAATGGTGCTATTCAGTGGCTCTTGAACAGGGCCAACCAAAGGTAGGAGTTTTTAGCCCACGGAGCCTGTGTGTAAGGCATACTGTTCCTTTGCCCTTTCAGCTGACTTTGTTCTTCTCTATTGGCATGGGACTGAGATGATGAATTTTTTCTTTGGTTTCTTAATGCTGCAGACAGCAGGATTATTGAGATTTCAGCTCTGTTGCTTCTGCTGAAAAATGTAGATTGGAGGGAGAGTTGAAGTAAGTCATGATGCGTGTGACAGCTCCCTTCTCCTTATCTTGGGTTTGTTGCAGATGGGTGCAGCTGGTGCCAGTTGGAAACAAGACATTTGTATCAAAAATGATGCAAAAAAAAAGACATTTCCATTTTGGTTCCAGTGTGCTCATCTATTTATCCACTGCTATCCATCTAGTGTTTAGGCTAGATCTGCAGAAGTGAAACACAAACAAAAATTAATACCATTGCAGTGATATGTAACACCCCACTGAAGCCTCTGTAATGCAAATTATGCTTCATTAGGGGCTGTTGCAAATACTATGCACCAGTTGATTCTTTTTATATATAGTCTTAATCCCAACTAGAGGTAAAAATAAGACTAAGTTTGTATATTGCTTTGAACTGCCCATCTTTATGGGATGCTTTACAGCTGAAGAAGGTTGCTATTTTAAAAAGAAACCCCACTGCTTGTAGCAGCTACAGCACAGAAAAAAACCCCTTGAAAGTATTTTAATATTTTAATCCAAAGTTGGCATTCCAAAAAGAAAGAGAAAATGGAATTTTTGCTTTTCCTGAGAAATCAGATTTAATCAGGCTGTAAGATACACGGTCAGGTGAAAACCTGCTCAGTCAGGTTACACTTGCATCAGCAGCCAATGTCATCAGATGGGAGCTGGATCTGCAGAACAAAACTACTGGTACTGAGCTCCCAGCACCCACACTACACTCATTTCAGGAGGTTTTCCTGCAGATTTGCTCATATTTACAGCTGGAGTGCAGGAGTTCCACTTCTGGAGTGCATTTCCCCTTTATGGTTTATTTTGAGACTCCATAAAATTTAATTTAATTCATTATATGAGAAGTGATGCATTTCCAAATGAAAGCTAAATTGCTTCCTGTTTAGCTTCACAATGATGGCTCCATCAAAAAGGTTCAGCCACGTCTAGTTTAGAGTATCTGCTGGTATATGGACTGTGGAAGATAAATTCTGCAGTGGGACTGGGAATGGACTGGTTTGGTCATTCCTGATTTCAGCATCTTTACTTAAAGTAAGGCTAAGAAACATATTTTGGGAAGATAATGAGATAAGGTCATTTAAAAAAGAACAATTTTAGTTTAATTTTTAATCCCAGCCTAAGGGATAGTGGTAGTTGCTTGAACTGTAATTGCCACGTTTCATGCAGTTGGGCAGTACAAATAGCTGATGAGCACATATCCATATCACATTTAAAATGAATATGTTGTATTTCATGGCTGAGGAAAGTGCCTGAGACTGCTGATTAATGCTGACTCTGCTCTAAGTGGAGTCACAGTGGACTGATTTTTAGTTTAAGCAGCAGCTTTAGTATTTTGTTTCCGTGTGTCCGAGATTTGTTGCCGAATCACTGGAGCAATTTTTCGATACCTTTTGAATATCCAGCAAAAGCAAAGGAGGATATGATGGGATACCTGCAGCCTCGGATCTCAGGTGTTTTTGTTTTCAGTGGTGCTGTTTCATGTGCTCGGACTCCAGGAGTCCTGTTCCAAGGGGACTGGCAGAGCGGAGCTGCCTGCTCATCTCTGCAGTCCTGCTGCTGCTGGGAGCAGCGGGAGGCTGCGGGTCCTCCAGAGCAGAGCAGAGCTGCCTCCCACATCCCTCCAGACACTCCCACGTCCCTCCAGACACTCCCACGTCCCTCCAGACACTCCCACGTCCCTCCAGACGCTCCGTCCCCTGCAGCGGGACAGGGTGCTCCAACGCAGCACGGAGGGGTAATGGAACATTTAGCATGAAATATCCTTGTGCAGCTGGGGGAGGTGATGGAGCATTAACAGCAGGGCTGCTGTGGTTGTGCCTGGTAATTAAGAACGCCTTTTTTTGTTGTTGTTGTTGTTGTAGCAGACTGAAGGGTAAATAAATGAAGTTTACAAAGTGACCTCTCTTAGATAGTGTGGTTTATGGTATCTGTCTTGGGAATTGTGTTGCTGTTCTGCCTCAGCAGTCAGGGACATCTGGACTAAGTTGCAGGGGAAAGGGACTGGTTTAATTTTTTTCAATTTTCTCTCTGGTTGTAAAAATTAAAGAAGTATAAATTCAAATTGATGGAATTCTGATGGGATTTTATTTTAATATTATTTCAATGCTGGTTTTTTTTAAGCAACTGTTTTTACCTTAAGGTTTTGGATGGATGTTAACTTTTGCATCTCTTGCTTTTTAATTCACAGCATGCTTTTTTAAAGGCTGTAGTCTGATTTGTCACCTCTCCTTTTTTTTCAGACCATGAAAGAATAAGTTTGCAGGTAAACAGAGATAAGATCTGTAATCTGAGACCTGCAAACAAAAGCAAATAGTGCAACCATGGGAAAACAATGGCTGTCAGTTTGATAAAGGACATGAAGAAAAAAAAATCAGTGAAACTGTGTACCTGGGTATACCTATAGAGGGGAGGAGCTCATCATCCTTTGTTCTTTTTTCTTTTTTTTTTTCGTTTCATTTCTTTTTTTTTTTTAAAATGTCTTTTTCATGATCATTACAAGGAAAAAACCTCCCAGAAACAACTCTCTACATTCACTCTGCCCTTTGCCAGGCAGTGTAATCTAATAGTCTCATCACTCATTTATTATTTCAAAAGCAATATTAAAATCCCAGTCCCTCGGTCTTTCTCAGTGTTTTGGTCCTATTGGACATCTATTCTTGCAGTGCTTCAGCAGTGCCTGATCATGATTTAGTCTTGCCAGTTCCCTTCAGGGGTGGTAAAGCCATCTGCTCCTGTGGGCTTTCACGGAGCAGGGTTCCAAGATCAAATTTTATTTAATGCAATATGTCTACTGATGAGGATGGCTTTCTCAGCTCTTCCTTTATTGCATTTTGTTGCTAGACATGGTGGTAAGTAGAACTCAGATTAAAATAATCCTTCATTTTCTTCCTTTGGCAGATCCAAGCTGGGACACTGCAGAATTCTTTAGTAATTCTCATGTTCTGCTGCTTCTGGTTTGGTTTGGTTATTTTTTTTTGTTGGTTTGGTTTGGTTTTGTTTTTATATAAGATATGAAGTGTAAGTTGAAACTTATTTTAGTCTTTCAAAGGCATGGAGGGTGAACTAACTGATTTAATTGCCTCTTTTTTTTACCTTTTTTTTGCAGAATATCTAGGAGGGTCTTAACTCTGGCACTCAGTATCGATAATGACATTTAAAAACATTATTTTGGTTAACAATATTACTGTCTAGCACATGGTGCAGTTCTTCCTAGCTGTCCTTCACAAAGCTTCTGTTTCCCCTTTCTTCATTCCCTTCCCTTTCTTCATTTCCTCCCTTTGCAGCTGCTTGGGTGGCTCTTTTGTGGTACCCTGCCTTCAGGGGAGGGCAAGGAGAAGGCTCCCTCATGACTTACCATGGAGGGATGATGGTGAATTGGCATTTTTCTGATATGTTGAGAGTTCTATAGTGGTAAGGTGTGGAGTTGTCTGCTCTCCCAAATCAGCATTAGCCCACTTAGTGACTCCTTAATGCACGGAAGCTCCTTTCACCAGAGGGGTGCTGAAATAAGGGAGCACATTAGAAATCATTAGCATCATTAGAAATCATTATCCTCAGTTTGAACAGGAGATTGGGGATGCCATGCAGATCCCCATAAGCAAAAAAAGCACGTTTTATTATGTTTTAAAAAGTAGAAGGCAGCCCCATTATTTTCAGACTGAACTCACCTATGAAATGTATCTCTATTTATAGCAACAGATTTAGTAAGGGACACAACAAGAAAAAACGTTCTTTTCAGAGCTCATCCTTTTTTTCCTGTGCCATCAGCTAATTTTTTTCTCCTGCTGATTTTCTTCTGGAAGTAAAATATTCAATAATGACATGACAGGAACACGGAGAGACTAATCAGTCATGAACTAATTCCAGTGTGTTTCCTAAAGTATGTTTGAGGTTTAAAATCACAGCTACTCAACTTTGAAGTGTTTTGTAGTGCTTTTTTTAGCATTTTGTCAATAGTCTTTGTACTTCAGCAAGAGCATCCTTCCAGTTTTGGGTAAATTAATTCAATTTAGTGTAGCAAGAACACTTTTGTGTTTTGTGTTTTTTTTCCAGAAGTGGTCACGAATTTCTTCATATTCTTTTTTTTCCCCCTAAGAAAATGCAGGTTGTTTTTGTTTCTTTGTTGTTGTTGTTGTATTTTTCCCCTTCTCTTTTTCTTCCAATTGAAAATGAAGTTTGGAAAGTCAAGTTTTGCCTAAATGCTTTAATTTTTCCATTGAGAGAATCCACCTTTGAGTGGCTGCCTTGCCCAGGAGGCGTGTGTTAATTCTGTTTTTTCCTTGCAGAGGCAGCAAGGAAAGCCTGGATGGGCTTTGGGAAGAGGAGGCTGGGCACACACCCTCAGCTGCCTCCCTGCAAGGCTCTAGTGAAATGCCACTTCCCAAGAGAAACAAGTGAAGTCAATCACATCCTTCCCAGCAGGCAGTTGGCAAGCCAGGGGAAATATAATTTCACTGATCTGAAAAAGATTCTTTTCTGGAAAATGTTGCCCATGAAACTTTGATGTGTGCCTTTTCTACTTTGTCTTGACTGGGAATAAATTACTCCCACCTTCTTTGGGAACACAAGGGTTTTGTCAGAGAAAGTTTTCTATATGGTCTTATTTCTTTTCCTCCTAATTTTTTTCTTCCACTATCTGTCAAAGGAATTTCTGGGAGTGTTACAGCAGGGTAAGAAAGGTTAGCCAAGATCAATTTTATACTAATCATGTTTAAAATATGTGGAATGGAGATTTCATGAGAAATTGGTTTCTTGTTGGGCATTCACATGGTGATCTACATATTTTTTCCTGTCACTTATGTAATTAAAGAAGTTAAAGGGTAGTGAGAGATTTTATGTTGAAGTTGAAAATTTATATTAACGTAACATGCTGGAAGTTTCTTTTATTTCTCCTTTTCTTTTATTTCTCCTATTCTTTTTGCAGCCAGTACAAGGCTTTGACTATGCCAAGCAACACTTGGGTCAGCAGGGAGCAGAAGATGAAGTTCTACCTGTAACTCAGGAGACTGTCATACTTCCACTTCCAGTCAGAGATGCTCCTGCCTCCCAGGAGAGAGAAATTACCCAGGATGGGAGCACCATCAAAACTGCCAAATCCAATGAAACAAGGAAAAGGTACTGACTGGCATCTTTCCACAGAGGGGTGGAATAGGGTACATGCTGCTGGTTTCTGTAAGGTTTGGCACCCGGGCTGAGTGTGTGGCAGATGGTTCCTCCATGATGTATCCTTGGTATAACACTGGTCTGCCCTGGATATGTCAAATTGCTGCAAAATATGAGGTGAACCAAAGTGAAACCTTCACAGGTTGTACATTCATAGAGGAGGTGAAGGGGAAGTGGCTTTCATGTTCAAGACATGAGCCCAAATGAGACATGGGACCAAAAGACTTTGGCCACTGTAAATTTCTGTAGCTGCACTGGTGGACTCTGTCACTCCAGAATTAGCCCCAGTGCAGAAGGGAAAACCCTTAACATCCACTAAATTATGGAAGACCTCTACATCCAAACCAGCTACAGCAGTACAAAACTTCTGAGAGTGTAAGAATAGACTAGAGAATGTCAGTGTCTAGGGTAAAGTGTCCCAGGTTTGCAGTCTCTTCATACCAAGTCTGTAGGATCACAGATTTAAGGTCCCCAGGAAGCTATCTGCCTCCTCTTCTTCTCTGTTGCAGGGTCAAACACCCCCCAACTCAAGTTTATCTACCTTATTTTAAAGTCTTTCACTGGTGGGATGATCACAGCCTCCTCCAGCAATCTGTTCTCTTCTGCCTTTCCTGTTAGGAAATTTTACCTCGTGTTTACCCTCAATCACCAACAGAATAGCTGAATAGAAGGTCATTATTTCTTGTCTCAGTCACCACAGGCGAGGAAAGAAGATTATCCCTTTATCCTGGCTGTTTTGCATTCTTTGTGTCCATTTTTCCTTGACATTAAGTTAGAGTGGAACTGAAGAATGATACTGAAGTGAAGAGAGGAAAATAAAACTGTTAGGTAAACAGCTTGAATAGAGGTAACAGTTGTTGTGTAATTCACTGGCATTACACAGTCCTTGTCTCTTGAAGGGACTTGACAGCATAAAAGAAGAGTATCTGGCTAGTGCAGAGAAATTCTATAGAAAACCAAATCTTCACAACTGAGTCACCTCATCTTGTACCATGACATTTGTCCCTTTGGAGTAATGGAAAAGCTTAGAAAACTTGGCACAATGTTGCTGTGCCCTGTGACAGGAGCACACTGGAGCCACCTGCAGCTGTGGGAGGTGTCAGCCGGCACGGTGTGGGGCTGGAGGAGCCAACACTGCTGCTCTTTACCGTGGGTAGACATCCCCACTGGTTATAAACTGAGGTTTTCCCTACAGAAGAATGGAGACAGAAGGATCCTGAGCCTAGTTCCTGGTTTAGCACACTTCTTTGGCTGTACAGGAAGGCACCTGGAGCGTGGAAAGAGCTGTCTGCAGGGAGTACCAGTAGAGGAGAGTGAGCCAGCTGCGTTTGGATGTGAACTGTTATTCTGCCATTTGATGTCAGTGATGTGTTGTTCATGCTGTAAATCACTCAGACTGTGAGGGTTGGGTTTTATAGTTCATGTGAACTGAACAGCACTTGTCCCTTTCGAAGTCTTCCATCCTCTGATGAAATGACAAATGGAAGAGGACCACGACATCAGCAGCAGTTGCTGGTGCTGAACCACCAGAGGTTAAGTCTTTGCAGGAATTGCTCTTTAAAATGTTTTGAAGCCTCTCCAAAGCCATGTGTAAATACACACAAAAAATATAAACCAGCCCTATTAATTAATCCTCTAACAAAAGTGATTAAGCACTTCACTCAGTCCTTTGAATGAGCTCCAAAGTCTCCCTCTACTTAATCTGCACCATTTTAAACAAACGTTGATAAGCAAACTTGATCCAGGAATTCACAGGAAAGTTACTCTCATTATAAAATATGTTGAACCTTGCTGCCCTTCTAAGCAAATAACTAAGAGTTAGTTTTCCCTCCTTCAGGGTGATTACTTGAGTAAGTGAGAACATGCAGAATTTTGTATTTTTCATTCCCAGGAGCTGTGTCTGGGGTTGGAATTTAATGGTTTCTGAAGATGAAGAAATATTTCTTGACCTTTATGTATTTGCTGTTTCATCCAGGCTACTTTGAGTCAAATTAAATCAGACTGCCATGAAGTGGCTGGTAACTGATCAGAATATCTCCTCTGATATCACCATTGAAAGAAACCTCTCAGTTATGACAGCCACTTAAAAAGGAGGAATATTTAGATTAGTGGCAGCAGAAATCATTGTGCAAGATATCCATGCTCTTGTGATTCTTTTCCGTGTTCCCAAATGGAGCAGATTTTCTTCAGGTGTTGGTCTGTCCTTAGATGAATTTTTTTACTGGGCTGGGATTATTTATTAGGCAGTGACAGGTTTATAGGGGAGAAATCCTTGCTTCACAAGAATATTTATTCTCAACAGAATTTCACTAGAAGATCCTCAGGCTGGACTGAGCTGGGCTGCATGCTGAGTTCTCATAGAACCCTGTAGCTGGAAAGAGCCTGTCTCAAATTGTATATATTTCCACCTAGGCTATCTTCAAAAGAGAGTCCCCAAGAATTGCTTTTCTGATATTTGTCCCTTACTGTTCTGACCACAGTAAATGCTTTCTACTTACACCAGGCAGGGTGGTCAGAACTGGAGGTAAATGAATGCTTCAAGCTGAAGATTGAAACATTCATTTATTATATTGCCATAGTATTGGCAATGATTTGCAGGATGGTTTTGACCATTGTTTTGCTTTACGACCATTTTCTAGATATAAAGCCACTGTGACAGCAATAGAACTTGATTTGATTTTTTTTTCTCTGTAAATGAAAGTCTTTGTGACTAAGTCCATTTCTTTTTTTCTCCAATGCAATCTCTTTACATCACCCTGTCAGTGGCTGTGAAAATTCAATGGTAGATTGCAGATAGGCATAGAATGGGATAAGAGGGTTAGGGAATGTGTAAACAAGGGAAAGGAACAAGGCAAAAAGGGGTTTCTGCTTTTAAAACCTACCTATAAAATTTATAAGTTTTACAAATATTAGGAAAAGAAAAAAAACATTAGGGGCTTAAGGCATCAGTGAATAACTACACAGGTCCAGTGAATAGTTTTCATTCCCTTTGTGGCAAGTTTCACGTGTAAAAACAACGTGACCACGTGTCTGGATGTGGACTAGCACCAAATATACCATTTTCTACTTTGGCCTCCTTTTCCCAGCTTGTGCATTAGGATTTGAGTAATTTACCCATCCCAGAAAGAAGAGAAGTTCTGATGAGACTTTGCTCCCAGTGCAGCCCAGAGCCACGCTGCTGGTTTCTGTTCCTGCTCCTCACTGGGACTTAACACGCCGCTGTTCCGACCTGCCCTTCCTCCTCACCCTGGGCAGGGACCATTTTCAGGACAAGGACATGCAATGGCTGAGTTAAAAAAACTCTTAGGAGTTTCAGTAAATAATGGTGCTGGTTAAACCAGGTTGTGTGCCAAGAGGAGAAAAGGAGAATTTTCTTAACACAGTTGTGTGTGCATACATCTGAAGTGAGTGAGTGAATTTTGCATTATGGCTGACAACAGTTCAGTGTAAATGCAGGCTAAATAACAAAGGAACTGGTTTATCCATACATACAAAAGCAAAGGTCTACTTTATTTTAAAGGGCAAATGACATTGAATTGATAATGGGGGTTTTTTTGTCCTCTGCAGTGGCATTTCTGTCATTGTGGAGCTTTTGCATGAGAAGTAGTTGCATTCCAAGCCACTAAGATGCCCATCAGCCCTGAACTAATTGAGAAAGTCGTGTTCACCTCCCATCACTCTGCTCCTACCTCACTGTGTTTCTGTGTGCACTTTATATTCTGTCTCCTTTTTGGTACAAAGTCAGACTTGAAAACTCAGTGATGCAAACTGTGCAAATGAAATAACCTTGAAATGAGGTTTATAAGGAAGAACTCACATCCTGCCTTGTTGCTATGGTTACTTGCAGCCGGTCCCCAAGTCAGAATGGCTCCATCATCAGCAATGGGTCGGGAAAGCCCAGCTCTGGACGGAGCTCCCTCCAGAAAGTGATGGCACCTCAAAAAGGGACAAAAGACGAAGGAAGGAAAAGAAATGGTGAGATGTGTTCCTTGATGAAAGCTGCTTGTGGGCGTTCCCAGAGCCATGCCCACATGGGCAATAGCGATGTCAAAACCACCTTCTTGCACCCTCAGCAGTACTTTGGGCATATAGCTGATCTGTTGGGTTTTTTTCTTTCCCCTTTGCTGCTATAACTGTTTCTCAAGCTCCCATGAAACTATGCTTTTTGCTCTTTGTGTGGGCCTTTGCAAGTTTTCTTTTTTGTTTCCTTTCCTTTTTCTTTTTTCTTGAAATACCAGTAAACTAATGAAGATGTGCTGCAGCTTAGTAGGTGGACAGGGTTTACAGCTTTTTTTATTGTGTAGAGCCCAAAGATGTTAATTTCCACTGCTGCTGTTGCTAAGCTGGCCCAGATCTGATGAAGATGAATTAATTAGGTAAAAATTAATTTGAGAAAGTGTGAAACATCCAATGTTTTATCTTTTGTTCTCTAACCATCCTTGGCACAGCTGTTTGTTATTAACACTTAGTGGCAGCTTTTCCTGATGCACCCAGGATGTTACACTGGATGTTTCTTACAAGGCTTTGCTTGATGGTGGTGACCTTATGACTTGATATATATCAGGAACACCTGATAAGAGTAGAATTTCACCCCTTTCTTCCTTGCTTTTTTTTTATGTCTCTCTGCTTATTTCTCCTGGGTTATAGCTTTGCTCCCGTAGCTATGAATAGAAAACAGTGGTTAACAGTTCTAAGTTTCAACGTGTTTAATTATTTTTCCAAATATAGCTCATTTACAAGACAACAATGTTTATGGTTTCCAGAGTGAAAAGCTGTAATTTATGCTGTCTTTTTTCTTACCTACCCAGTGAAGCCAATATTCAAAACCAGTGCCGGGTGATGTTCACACGTGTAGGCAAAATAATTTAGTGAAGGTACTTTTTGTTTTGTTTTGTTAGGTGTTAAATCTTCAAAGAAAATTAGTAAGAACTCAGGGGTTTTTGTTAAATAATTGACTAACACAGAATCCTTTCTTCTGATCTGGACTGTGGTACATTTCTAGAACATACACACGCTACTTAAAGAAACTTTCAATGTAGTATAAAGAAATAGTGACCCTTTATTTTATATCTTAGTTTCATTAGAATTTTAGCTGCAACTTTATTTGATAGGAATAACCATGCATTTTTCAAATTATGCTGGAAAGCTAATAACTGCTTTGTTTACATGTTTATTTTACCCTCTCTCTTCTTTCTTCTGAAAAGAAAAAAGCCTGAATAATGACGTTATTTAATAGCTAAATGATTTCTAGTTCTAGGGCCCTAGGAAAAACAACTTTAGTGTATACTCCATTCATACTGTAGATTCTAATCATTTGTGCCTACTGCATGCTGGTAGTTTCCTCAAACAACCCTTTCAGAACAGCTTCTGAGAGGGAAGAGATGGTCAGGGGAGATGAAATGACCTCCCCTTATCAGAATTATGGAGTTGACTTTGGAGTTGTGTGTTCCCAAATGCCTGTTGAAGTTGAAGGCACCCATTAGTTCTCCTCACAGAGCCTACACTTTTTGTTCCCTGGTGCTGTATTACAAACACTATTGTCATCTCTGATAGTTTGTTCTTTTCACAGGGTTTTACCTTTATCCAGTGGGATTAGCATCCATATGATGTATTGGCTGTTTTCCCTTCCCATTTAAGAAAGAAGCAGCTTTTCTCCCAGCTGTTTGCCTGAGCCTGCTCCAGCTCTCCAGCCTGGCTGTGGGCTGACAGCTCTAACACGCATGTCAGGAAAAGCAGCAGCATATTTTCTTCTCTCAAAAGCAGCATCTTGGAACTGGAATGAATCCCTTGATGGTCACATGCTTGATTTGGGGACTCCAAGTTAGAATGGCTCATTAGTTGCCATAGTTACAGGCCAATTTTAGATTCTATTTCTTGCTGACATTTAGTTACAGGGGAAAAATGACAGCACTGGATGTTACCTCAGTACGTAAATTCCATGTGGCTTGTATCAAATTTGACTCCAAATGGAGTGTGTCAGGGCTGAGAGTGAACAATGTGAAACCAGCACAGGCTGACAGGCTTGGCTTCAGGACCTGATGTTTTTGAGGATCAGGAGAACTCTTCAGCTGAGCATTATTTCCACAGAAAACACAAATAAAATATCTGCTTCTATCAAACAGTGATAAGCTCTTGTAAGATAAATGCATGTTTTTTCTTGGAGAATGCTTAGTATATTAATGTAAAGCTTGCTTTCTAAAAGTTGATGAGTTGTGCTTTCATTTACTTCAGGCACTTAAAAGAAATTAAAACCTTTCTTAAAAAAAAAAAGAGTGCCCAGTTACGTATGTTAGAGAACTCTAATATGAATGAATCAGCCAACAGAGGTACTGGCAGTTTCTGAGATGGGTTTCTAGGAGGGCGTGGAAGAGAACAACAGGCTATTTGCACTTTCACCTATAGTTTTATTAGGCCAAACATCATTCAGGGAGGAGCAAAAGGCTGAACCCATTCACACCTAAAGAACTAAAGCAGCCTACATTACAACCTTTCACCAGCTCCTCACAAAATGATGCCAAGGAAATTTATATAGGTTGTTTTTTCCAACCTTTAAGCTGGAAAACCTTTCCATTAGCATCTTTGGGGAGTGTGATTGCTTGAGGGTTTTTTTGAGAAAAACAAAAGCTTTGATTTTTCTGGAAGTTCTTAATGAAACATATGACTCCACACTTTTTGGGATAAGAATTTGTGTAGTTTAACTCAGATTTGTACTTGAACCTCATCCTCACGAAAGGACACGTCACAGGTAGAGATGCACAAGCAGCATTCCCAAGGAGTTAAACTTTGTGTTAGAAACCTTCTTTTCCTCCTTCTAGGGATCCCAGCTGGACCAGCTTCTCATCTTCTAAGCATTTGGATATTGCCTTTGGAAACAGGTCTAACTTTTCAGAAGTAATTCAGTCATGGGCCTCACTCCTTTTTAAAATATCAGTCTCTAAGACTGTAATTTCTTTTTGTCCAGGCAGAAGCTGTCTGCAGGAACAAAGTAGCAGGGGAGCAAAATTTGGCTGTGTTATTTGCTTAGCTAAAATCAAAGGGATTTTTGGGTGTAACTCAGCCAAGCTATGATACACTGCCTCCTTTATTCTGCAGAAGCGTGGGCCACTAGTTTTCACACTGTCTGATGTGGCAGCTCAGCGTCAGAGCCTGCTTTTCTGAAGTTCTGAGCACTTGTCTGTAGTGAGTCAAAATAGAATGAAATGTGGCAACAGCAAAGTAATCCAGTGGCAGCAGTGTAGTGGCCTGCTTTGACACAGTTAGCTGGAGGATGTGGTGTAACCCAGCAAGCATCCAGCACCCTTTGTCTGCCTTTTCTCTGCTGGGTGGAGTGAAATGTGGGAAAGGCTGCCAATTTTTTGATGCTTTAGAATTGGTTTCCTAATCTGACTAACTAATCTAGTGACTCCAGAGGTTCATGGCCAACTGGGACAGATCTGCTTTGGAGGTATTCATCTTTCCCTTTCTAGTAAGAAAGATCCCTGTCAGCTACATTGGAGCATATGTGCAGATTTGAAGTGAGATGATTCCCATTCAGGATGTGTGTGTCTCTGAAAGGCTAAGAGATCAGAGTTCTGGGAAGAATTCATGGTATAGAGAAAGGGATCTGTTCCTTTCATTATTCATTCCCTCCTCCTGAAGCATTAGCTTCATTTGCCCCAGAAAGGATCTTGATCTAGCTCTTCAACCCCTCACGGTAAATTCCTAGGCTTTTTGGAGTAATTTACTGACATTTAACCATAGATGAGTAAAAAACGCCCAAGATTAAACAAAAACCACTTGTTCAGCTGAAATCCTGTGTATTGGTACTAGTCACTATTCTCCTTGAACCTCCCAGATGCTTTATATGTTGATTCCTTCTTTTTCCCTCCAAAGATTCCACCTTGTGTGACACAGCCTAATACTTCCCCATGCAGTTTCAGTTTCTTCAACTGCTTTTTTTTGTTGTTGTTTACTTGCTTTAAATATTGGGAGCACTGTGACCCTGCTGGCATCCAGCTTTGTTTCTTCAAACTTAGTCAATACCATTTCCTGCTGCTTTCTCTCCTTGCTGATGGTTTGTGAGAGGCAGCCAAGTGTTGTAACCTGTTTTGTGAACTTCTGAGTTTCTGCACACTCCTACAAAGCAAAAGATACCAGTGCTCCTCTGCCTCTTTCCCCAGAGACCGAGTGGGAGGAAAACAGCACCTCCAAGTTGTCCATACAGCTTAGAATCGTAGAATGAGCCAGGTTGGAAAGGACCTCTGAGATCATCAAGTCCAACCCTTCAGACTGGTGTGAAGCAGCCACGTTACTGTATCAGTTCCATGCATTTAGCTGCATTTCTGGGTTTATATTGTGGGCATTTACTGTCAGTTGGCTTAGAAAGAGATGCAGATTTTCTTTTTAAATGTATCAAACTTGACATTTTGTTCAGTTTTTGAACTCTGTAGGTGGATGCTGTCAGAAGTTTGGCTAATGGAATGAAAAGGACGTAGTTGTGGAGGACGATGGGTGGGACTTCATGGGAACTACTTTCTTGCTGTAAATGTAAATATCTTGGCAACCTCATGTCTGGGTAGGGCCACCCAAGTGTTGCATTCACAGGCGTGGTGGAACTTGCATAGGGTAGGTGGAAAATACTTTCTGCTTGGCCTCTTTTAGGTTGGCATGTCTAACCCAACTTGCCTTTTTAAAATTTTTTTTTAATTCTTTTTATTTTTGAGCCAGTGTTTTTGATTGCTTTTCTCATGGCACGAAAATAGTTCATACAATGTTGCTAAGGCTCCTGTTGCAGCAGAGCTCTGAGGGATTTGGGGTCCCCAGGTAGTTGCACAATTAAGTATTTCTTCATTCGTGTCTGCCTTTCCCTCTGGATGAGCTTTACTCTGCCACTAATTGAGTCTGACAGCAGTTTTCATCCAAGCAACAGTTCGAAGAGCACGTAGATGTTCATGCCATCAGATCCAGTGGCAGTCTGGATGGTTGTGATTTTTCGCTAATAAGTCAGCACTGAAGAAGACAAATGTACAGTTTTATTGTGCAAAGAGAAAACTAATTCTGCAAAGGTTTTTAAAGCTCCTGGAGCATTGCTTTCTCAAAGAATTGGTTTCTGTTTTAGGTTCCTATGCCTTCCCTATCTTCTTTTTATAGTCATCATCTTTGTCACTTACAAATTTATTTTTTTTTTTAGTTATTGAACATACCTACGATGGTATTACGGAAATGCCAGCCAAGAAAAGGGTCTGATGGATTTGCTGAAAACATCATGAAATACACGGTCTTTTTTTGAATGATTTTGATATTTAAATAGATGAGGCAGATGTAGTTGGAGGAGAAGACATAACCACAGAGAGATCCTTCCTTCTGCTTATAAGGGTGGGAAACCTTCATAGAAAGTGGATGAAACAGGCAGCTAAGAGATGAGTAGACACCCCATGTATATAGTTTCATAGAAAACCTGCAAATACCAGTTTAGAGATCTCAAATGACCTGCTCAGGTGACTCCTGCTTCAGGAGCCCAGGCAAATGCAGGACTGCAACACCTCATGCTCATCACCTAGAGTTTAGCAGACTTTACATGTAAGAAAATACTGTCCAGGTGGAATCATGAGCTGCTTCCACATTAGTCTGTTAGGTGTCTGCTTCTGAAAATGTAATATTTGTGCTCTTTGTGAAAGGTCTAGAATTGCACCATCTTGCAATTGGGTTTATTTTTAAGCAGTATCTGATAGAGAGGTATTTCTGTCCTGAATAGGTTCAGGTATTAATGTTAGGAAACTTGTATTTTACTGGAAGGCTTATAAACTCCTTCAGAAACAGAAGTTTCTATATTGCTGAGAGCTTTTGTTCATACTTCTGTGGAGATAATCATCTGACCAATGGTATGATCTGGATGATGCAGAAAATATCTATTTTTTTTTTTTAATAGAGGTGTTTTCTCTAAAATGAAAATAATTTCCCTATTATTAAATTACATTCAGGAATCAAGATTTGTTTTAAATATTGATATGTGGACTCTTTCCTAAGGAGCTGGGTTTTTTTAGATCTGTGGCACTGTTTGCTCTTTTTCAAACTGTAGGTATACTTTATGGGTATGGTTACAATGTTTGCCTTCCCTTCATGCAAAACTAATCTTTGAAAATTGTTAGTACTTCACTGAACGACCTAAGAAAAGGCAGAGCATGTCCACCTGCTTGCAGGTGTTTCCCGGGTTTTGGCTTTATGTGTTTTATTCCATTGACATTGTTCTTTTTCTGAGGATTCCAAAATCAGTTAAATGGTTGCTCCTGAGCAGGACATCACACATGTTAAAAATGTTTTGCTGGAAGGTTACCTGATTCACAGGTGATTTAAATGTCCCCTTTTTTTTTTTTTTGTTTTTGGTGGGTGAGTATTTCAGTCCTTTTTTTACCTCCTTTTCAATGTATTTTTATGGGGCAGAGAGGAGGAAAGACAAGGTAGAGGGAAAGAGAGAGGAGAGAAGAAATCTTCTGTGCCCTTCATTGAAATCTTTGGCTGACAAAAGTGTGACTTTTGCTTTTTGGCTATAAATTAACAACTAAATATAAATAGAGTACTTCACCTATCTAATTGTTTTTAACCGTTCAGAGCTACAGTTCCACAGCCACTTTTCCACGGGACCAGTGTCACGAGTGGGTAGCACCACCTGCTGGCACTGCCGGCTGGGAATAGCTCAGAGCTGCATGGAAATGGGAGGAGGATAACATCCCTGAGGCAGCGTGCACCGAGCAAATTTTGTGTTCTGATAGCTGCAGTGGTGTGGAGATAAAGCTTCAGTGATGGTCCTGCTCTTCAAGGAGCCAGTGCCACGCTGGTCTTCGCTGCAGCTGGCACTCGACCTGAGTAAATGGTTGCTCTGGATGTATCTTCATGTACTTCAGTCACAGAAAGATTAGGAGGAGTAATTCATGTGGCGTGGGATATCTAGCACGAGATGTTTCACAGATGGGAAGTTGCTGTTAAGTAGGCGATTGAGTTGGGTTTTGCCCTTTTCTGCCACTGAACCTTTAAGTCTCTGTGAGCACACAGTGCAGGCACGAGTAAAAACAATGACTCCACGGGAATGTTGGAGTGCATCTGTTTAAAAACAGAGGTTAAAACCGTCACTTTAAATCTGTGTTGCCAACTATAATGAGCAAGGGTGCTCATTGTGAGTGACTATAAAGAATATCTGGGCAGTTTTCTGGAGTTTCTCATCCTGGGCAGTTGCTCGCCCAGCTGGGATGGGTAGACTGGCCCAGGGCAGTGAAACACACTCCAGGACTCTCCCTTTTCTCTGAAATCCCTTTAGTTTGTTTTTCAAAGTTTGGAGGTGGTTGTGATTCAATCATGTTATAAATAGTTGCTGTAAATTCTCTCAGGAAGAGCTGGATAGGAGAAAATAATAAAATTCCCACAGTACTTGCTACGGTTCACTGCTACTACAGACTATGGCAGTGTGCCAGTAACTGCAGATCACATGCTCTTTATCACTCACCGGAGGGAAAAAAAAGGGCAATGGGAAAAATGACTGCTTTTATATTATAAATGCCAATAAATGAACCAATGCTAAGTTTAGGTGGAGTAGAATTTTAATTTCTACTCCCGTTTGGCTTTCATTTCCATGCCAGTAGCACTGCAATAGATGCAGGAGATGTGCTCATGATGACACTGAGGGTGCTCTGTGGTGTTAGTGTTCCACGTCAGAAGCAGATGTTATCTGTGATTTGATTCTTTTTACCCTTAATTTTTCTTTTCTTTGATGAGTCTTTGAACCAGAGGAATTCTGTTTCATTAAGCAAAACTCTTGGTTTCTGATCCTGAAATGAGGACTGAGGGGACAACCAGTGCGCCTGTAGCTAGTCTTGCTCTCTGTGGGTGCTGGGCATCACTGCTGAGGTCTCAGCAGGTGCAGCCCTTCTGACACACTGGGGTGGGAACACAGCTGTGCTTCTTGGTGCTTTTTGCCTAAGTAGGGTATGCAGAGGATGTTTGGAATCATGTTTATCAAGCTGATGCTTAGCCAGGGATTTTGGGCATGCCTGGCTCAGGCGAATGCCAAGAGAGGCAACCAAAGAGAAGGGATTCCACAATTTCATCGTACCTGGACTGCTGATCAGTCACTATCCAGGCTCACCTGAGCTGTAATCGTGAAGAGAGACCATCTTTGTTGGTAAAAAATACAATTCAGACAAACTTTTTCTCTCTTGGAGATAGTCATGTCACCATGGGGGTGCCCTGTTAGGGTGGTGTGGAGGCTTCAGCAATGAATTATGCGCAAGACCCAACTTCCAGAACTGCATGTGGCAACTTACACAAGAACTGGTTCAAAATTCCCCCTGGGAAGAGCATCCATGCTCATTGTCATGTGGATACCTTCCTGTTCACTGTGGTCTGTGACAGGCAAGGATCTCTTTGTTGTCTGGTTCTGCTGGTATGGTGTCCTGGAGGGTGTGGTGGTCGGGGGAGTCTGGCAGTTATTTCCACTGCCTGTGATCCGCTCGCTCTGCTGAGCACACAGCTTTGGGGTGTTTGAACAACCCCAGGAGGGACAAGGGGATTTCAGACCCACTAAAGACTCCATCCTGTTTGGACACTTCCGTGGAGCTGGAGGGACAATATTTAACGACAGAATGATTTAACCCATATATTACTCAAAAGCTCAAGTGGTGCCAACTCCAGTCCACTATGAGCACAGACAGAAAGATAATGAGCTTACTCAGCGGGTTCATATTTTATGTTACTGCTGTCAAATATTTTCTTACAAAATTATTGGCTGTCTAAACCGCTGAGTTTATACAAGTCCGTTGTAATTTGTGCAGTGATTAAATATTAAACCAGAGTGTATTTTCAGAGGAAATAAATTTAGAGCAGACCACTTTGTTCTTTAGCAGAGGATCTCTGCTCCTGTCAGTTAGGAGATGGAGCAAACATTCTTCCCTCTAATAGCCTAATTATTCAAAAATGTTTGCAAGGATCTCTTTGTAGAATTTGTGCTCTTGCTTTGGTGTCATTCTTTCATTCCAAAATGAGGATAAGAGGTTTCAGATTCAATAACTGATGAGGTGATGGAGGTTTACAAAAAAAAAGTTTGAGGAGAAGGGCCCATGAAAGAATTATCTGGGCATGTGAAAGAATTATCTGTTTATGTAGAAACCCAAAACTAAAGATGCTTTGCCATGCCATTTAATTTTAAAGATTGACAGAAGCCTCTTTTTGCCTCTTAAGAAATTTTAACAGTTTAACTTTACAGACACCTGAGGTGCTGCCTTGCAAAGCAAAAAATTAACAGAAAACAGGATGTCATCAGTTTCTTAAGGGCGTTCATAACACACAGCAATAATGCTTTTATTTTCATAGATGGCATTTTTAGCATTAACAACTTTTGACAAATAAACCTACTTATTTCAGCAAATTTTGAGTATGCTCTTGAAGTATAAGACAGGAAAAAAATCTGCTCTCGGGTTAGATCAGGTGTAACTACTGATGATTTGGCATGTGAGGATTTGTGTGTATGTGTGTTTCCACGTAAAATCTAGGAAAACATGTACTTTAACTGTCATTTTCATGCAATTTTCTGTTTCATTCTTCTCCTTTTTCCCCATCTTATTAGTGCAGATTGGAAATCAACCTTCCTTTGGGGAAGTGACAGATAATCCTTTGAATACCTAATGTTTTCTGTGATCTAATGGGATGTTTTATCCAGTGTAAGGGTCTCCCAGGTCTGCACCTCGAGTGCAGTGAGAACATCATAAATCTAAAGCATGTACTTCCTGAATTTCACCTTGAACATGCAGCAAAACTATTTGTGTCTCTGTGCTGAATAAGTTTGATGTGCTTTAGTGCCCGTGAGCGATGAAGAGGAAGGAGGCATTCTCTTTGATAACATTGCCAAATCCACCATTGACCCCTTCGACACCTCTTCTGGATCAGTACAGCTCATAGCCATCAAACCTGTGGCCCTGCCTGCTGTTCATGCTGCATCAGAGAGGAGCCAGGAATCTGCCATCATTAATGGAGAGGTAAGGACGGTCTGATAATGTCTCCAGCTGTTTCCTTGGCTACAGCCACAAGTGGAACAATCTGAAGCCTGTTAGGGTTGAGGACTGGTAGGAGCTTTTCACCCTGATGCTATATAAAGGTCCATTAGCACTGTGGACTGAGAAATCTGAGAATTTAAGATCTGCTCTTTCACATGCACCTGTGAATGCCTGCAGCCTTGGAAGAGGCAATTTTCTATATTCCTACCTTCCCGATGTCCTTCTCTCCTATCACATGAATTAAAAAAAAAAAAAGAGTAATGAAGGCAGAAAGCAGAATCACATCTTTGTCTACGTGAATTCTGCGACTGAGCGTGGAAATGTGTATGGATCATCTGAGTGCCAGGCTGATCTTTCTATACTAAGAAGTACCTCTCATTCACAGTAAGAAGGGATGCAGTGGGACCGTGGCCTTGCTCACTCTGCACTCCAGCCTGTACACAGAGAGTGCAGTTGTTTACTGTGAAAAAGAGTGGGATGGTGCAAATGTCTGATCCAGACGTTGGTCAAAAAACATACTTTGACTTCAGCACTTATATTCATGTTTTGATGTACATTTAATCAAGACTGGTCCATTTACAAAGGACTGAGGCTTTTATCTAGTTGTTAAACATGATGGGAACAAGCAAGAGAGGTGCCTTGTTTGCAAACTCACACTGCAACAGTCCTTTAAAGATCTGCCAGAAACTCCCTGACCTCCTTTAAAAGCAACAGGGAAGGCTGTTACCAGAGACACAGTAAAAGACATCAGGCTTCCCATGTGGGCCTGGATTCCAGCAGCCTGTTGTGCTCTGTTTCATACTTGTGTTTTGAATCCTGACGTGCCATGCAGCCTCCAAACTCAGAGAAAGGCTTATTTAGACTTCAGCATCTATTTTCTGTAAAGCAATAGGATGACACTCCTGTTGCTGTGTGCTCCCTTGCTCATACACTTCCTGTAATTTGTGAGAAGACTGCAGAATTTGACACTGGAAGCACAAAGCCCAAGTAAATTCCTGATTTCCAAGTAACTGCCAATTTGAAGCAGGAGAGAAATTTTCTCAATACTTAGGAGCAACCATGACTGAGCTGGATCAGGTCACGCCAAACACCCTTTTTTTAAGGATCCTCTCTGACAGGGACCCATAACAGGTATGTACTTATGGGACCCTGGAAGAGTTTTCATCGGTGAGTTCTTCCCGTGGTGCCCAAAAGCAGGCAGGGTGTTGGGTCACACCAACTGGCTAACATCACCAGTGTTTTTCTTCAGTGGGTGTATCTGAGTCACTGTTGTAACGGTACACGGGTTTTAGGCTAAAATTATTTAACCATCTGCCAAGCCATAAAAATGCAGCGACTCTGTTCACTTGCAGTTCCTCGCTGCTTGCAGATGGCACGGTGTGGTACGAAACACGCTCTGAGAGATGACACATGCAGAGCATCAAACACACCCTGACAATGTCGTTTGGAAGTGGCCAGCCCACCACCATCCTTCAAACACCTTCTTGCCTTTTAGGTGAACAAGGCTTTGAAGCAGAAGTCCGATATAGAACATTACCGCAACAAGCTGCGCTTGAAAGCCAAGAGGAAGGGCTACTATGACTTCCCGCAGGTTGATAACAACAAGGGGCTGACAGACAGAAAAAGGATGTACGAAAAAAACCAGAAAGAGCTTGACCACATTTTGGATCCTGATGCAGATGTCTCATCTCCATTTGCTGAGCCTAAGAACAGGTGAGGCTTTTTACATGCAGTTTCTTCATCTGGTAGGAAGGGTGATGTCCGGGGAGTCAGAGGGGCCGTTCTTAATGAGCCAGCTGTTTGTTGTGTGGTCACTGGTCCCTCCTGCTTTATAAAGAAAATTCATATAACCCATGGAAAGCAAGTCCTCTGGTAAAACTGCAATGTAGTTAAAAACCAAACAAATGGAAAGATAAAAAAAGGTAAGGGGAGGGACTGTTGTAAGTAAGTTCTTCTGAGTCATTTTCAAAGGTAAACAGAAAAAGTGGTAGCAACGTGTTTAGTAATACTGAGAGTACATTTTAGGCTGGAAGTTAGCATCTGAATTTGTTCCTTTCCAAAGTTCAGTGATGTTATTATTTTGTGATTATTTTTATCTAAGTATAAGTATTGCAGTAGGCACGAGATAACAGAACCAGTACGTTGTCCACGTATTTCAGAATGTATCTGTAAGGTGTTGTGTGTACCTGTTATTGGTGATCTTCCTCTGCCCGTAACAGAGGAATTCATAATGTGCTCATCTGTGATGTGAGGCTGGCATATTGTATAACAGTACTAATGTTTGATTAACACTTCACTGTCTCGTGAGGATGGCACACCAGTAGCATTCATCTCCCCATTTTAGAAATGAGGGGGGAGTGCACATGCTGACTCTGAGCCTCCTGAGGCGGGTGGGTGGACCTGCTCTCTGTTGCTGGTGCTCTCTGAAAGACAAACTGATGTATTGTAATGAGGAGATCACACCAGTCCTACCCCAGGAACAGCACAGATTCCTCTTCCTCAGGTGTGGCAGCAGTGTGAAGGATTATAAAATAGTGTGTTCATCACTGCACCTTGTACCAGGAGGGCTCTGGTTCTCACTGTAATCAGGGACAAGCAGCAGTTGATCCATGAGAGAAAAAGGGATACTGAAGTACATTTCCTCTGGAGGTGGCCCTCATGCCTGGAGGTGCAGTCTTGTATCCCATCTCCTGGAAAGCAGAGACCAAAATTTTCCAATGAGCAAAAATCAACTTCGGTCAAAGCGTCAGTAGTGACAGATGTTGCACACAGTGCAACTTCAGCGATTACCCTTGGGGCACAGAGATAAAAAGGACTGTAGTGGGAATTACAAAAGTAGTGTTGGCTCAGAATATGGGCAGAATCTGCGATCAGATGAATTTCTGTAGGTCTGCAGTTAAATGACTGAGGGATACTGCCCTTGGTGGGCTGTTTCCCTCTGTTGCACTGGTCAATGAATGCAAAAGATGCTGTCTCACCTGTTATGTTCTTGGTGGAGGACCCGGGGCATCATTTCCTTGTGCAGTTTTCCAGTTTATTGTGCACTGAAAAAGTAAGAAACTGAACTCTCATTACAGGGCAGTCCTGCTCTGGATGCTCTGTCCAGAAGGTACAGATGGAACACCGGGAACATTTGTTGAGGAATATATTTAGTGCAGGTGGCTGGAAAGTTTCTTTAACACATTGATGTGAGCGTGTGCTGTACATACAGTGGTGGATTGAGGCGTTGCTTTGGATGTTTGTTATGTGTCACATGCCACATAGGAAATGTTTCAAGCATTACACTGAAGCTTTAATACTAGCCATCTGCTTTTTGTTAAATATACTGATGTTTGTTTGCTCATGTGCCAGCGTAATGAGAGATCCCAGAATACATTTTTCCTGCCCATTATCTCATGTGTTGTGTAAACATGTCACAGTCTATTTGAGATAGGGATCACAGGCATGATATAAACTGCTTGAAGGCAGGTGAACTGCAGTGGAGGAATGATTTCAGCGTGTAGCTGAACCATGAAAGGCTGGCTGCTGCATTTACTTGTTAAATGTATAGCCTATATCCCTACACGGGAAGAGAAAACCATTTCTGATGCACTTTCTGTAAAGACACAGGACGCGTAATGAACTTCACAGATGTTGCAGATGTTTACAAAGAAAGCAACTCCAAAATCTGTGCTAAAATTTTCACACCGGGACCTGGAAGTGAACTCGATAATGCTGCAGCACACATGACAGTTATTTATCCCTAGTTTTCTAACAAAAATAAGATGGCTAAAATGGCACACTGCTGGAGGAAAACCTTGAATAATACTACAGGGTAGCATGGGGTTTGGTTATTAATATATGAGTCAATACAATTGTATTTCTGTAATGAAGTAAAATTGCTTTAAAAGCAATCAGCGAAGCGTACAATTGAGAAAAAATATTTCAAACTTTTTCTGCTTTGAGTTATTGTTTATGTCATTAATTGTAGCAATTAAAATCTGAAAAACTGCATTTTTTGAAAATGATATCACTAACAGGTAAGTCAAGTTTTTAGGGAAAAGGTTTATTCCACTCTTTTCTGTTTTGTATATATTTGTGTAACTTAAATCACATTATTACAGCATTTCCGAAATATATCAGAAAATAGAGAAGCAGTTGATTGCTCAAGATTACCTTTGCGTTTTGGATGATTTTTAAATTGTATTTCAAAGTGATATACAATACATTGTTGCTAAATGATTTGATTTTTCCGGAACAAACAACTTTGTGCTCTTCAGTCTTCCGTACCATAAAACTCATGTTTTAAAACATTCCAGTTGTATTCCCAGAAGGCACTTGCTAACCCATTTGAATGCCAGTTGTTACCATTCATACCTCCTTTCTCATTACTAAAACTCTCTTAAATGAGGTAATTGGCAATCTCAAGGTACTTTTTAAGAGACTAGTGATGATATGAACTATTCTTGGATTTTCTTTAATAGTTTGTAATCAGGTCAAGAATCTGCATGTATTACAGAGCTGTATATTTGAATCCCTTGGAAAATATATCACAACTGCCTCAACTAAGTGTTTATGAACCTACTGTAAAACATATGAAATTTTAGAGACCTTTAATGTAGGCAGATAAGGATTGTCAGATCTGATTAGCCTTTGCATAACCTAGTTCTCCCTGTTTTCTGGTAATATCAACATTATAGTCAGAGGAAGACTATATGGGAAGAAACAAGAGAAGGAACTTGAATTTGTTCAATATTATTTTTATAGGGGAAACTTATTTGAAAAGCTCTGCTTGTCTTCTGCTTTGGCAGCGCATTTGGGACTTTCAAACATGAGCATGGTGATTTGTGATCTGAGGTCACACACAGAAGCTTCTGGAACTTGCCTTTAAACTAAGTACATGACTGAGTAATTTGTTTAATCAGAAGTTTGAAATTGATATTTCATTGTCCTACCTTTTATCCTGTCTGATCGTGTAAATGTCCCACTTTCTGGATTTCTGCAAAACAGTTTCTTCTTCTCTAATCTGTCAAGGCAAAAAGTGCTGCTAACCAAATCTGGAATATCTAAAGAATTATTTATCAGTGAATTCATTTGGACCATCTTGTCTGTTCGTTCCATTGATGGCTCTGGAGTCATTAAACCATGCAGTGACTGAAGGTGTGAATTCAGACATAACAGTGTGACTTGTCTTCACTGTGAACTTTGCCAGGTCCCCTGTGTAAGCAGCACAGAGACACATTAGATGACCTGATCTAATTGTAATATTGTGAATGGAGTAATTGCACAAAGCAGAAAAATAGCATGGCTAGACAAAGATAACTTTGTATCAGGCTCTAACTGTGTTAATAAATGAGGCTGGCATGCCATTATTTCATCTGTTACTGATCTACAACGGGACCAGTGGCTCTCTGGGCTGTGCAAAGAAAATGACTAATGGACAAATACAGCATGAAAACAACTCCTAAATTCTTCTGGTTTAGAAGTAGCCTTCTTAAAAGATACAGTTTGATAAAGATCCTGTATCACTATTTGGCAAACACTCCTGAAGATACGTACAGATATGTTTGGTATTTCACAGAGGGATGCTATATTTGTTTTTGTGTAACCAGTAACAAGGGCAGAAATGGTCGTGCTGGAAAGATTACAGGGTATTTTGGGTATTCAGTTGCATGCTGCCTTTCTCTTACATTTGCTTCCCCTTGCTCCTGAGCACACAGTGGTGAAAGCTCAGTGCCTAGGGACGAGCAGCACTTCGCCCCAGTGTTGCTCAGAGCTGTGCTGGGAGCAGTTGAACCCCAGGGAGCACAGCTCTCTGAGGAAGTTGTGGCCAGTCACCAAACTGGCTATTTAAAAACAGCATCTTGCAAGCAGTTTCCTCCCACTCCTGTTTCTCTTCCCGTTCACTCTGCTGGGTGTTTGTTACAGCGGAGCGTTATTCTACTTCTCTCTCATTGCTCAGGATCAGCAACCAAACCTCTGCTCCCCGTCTGTGTCTGTGGGAGGTCCTGTTCTTTCTGATAATTTTTTTTTAATGAATTTGAATCATATCAGCCGAGGTTAAAAGGGACCTGATATCTTCTTGGGACATATTTCTTCTGATAAGCTCCCACATGCGATGTCCATGTCTTTTACATAACTTTATTTTCTTATCAGTGAAAAAATGTAATCATCTCTTAATAACATTAATGATTTCTAGCACTTCATATAGAAGGACTATCCTATAATAAAGTGGCATTTTTGTGAACCTCATCATCTTAGAATAAAGGTAAGCATTAAAAGCTGCTGCCTGTTGTATTTTTGTTTTCTTTTTATTTTACTGTTTCCTCATTCCATGTTTTCTAGGCAGCCACTGAAGAACTCGGTGTACAGGAGCAGGCAGTCTCTGAACAGTCCTAGCCCAGGAGAAACTGAGATGGATCTTCTCGTGACCCGAGAAAGGCCTAGGCGTGGAATCCGTAACAGTGGATACGATGTAAGTTCATTGGATATATGCAGTGAAATTTTCTCTGCAAAGTCTTAACTTACTCCTAAACCCAGGAAACTATTGATAAGCCACAAACCAGATTGTCACGGGATATTTAGTGTTAGAGGACTTTATGTGCACTCAGCAACCTGAAAAAAAGCTCAGGATGTTCAAAACGCAGACTCTTTCATGTGCTTTATCACTGTACATCATTTTATGGTCTGAAATGCAAGAAGGTATTTGCCCTGAAACTCATTATTTGCCAAAACGCTGTGTTTTGAAGTTAGATAGTTCTTCTAAGTGTGCGGCCACTCACATGACTGAGCTTTTTTCATGGCAGTTAAAATACCCTGTTTGTTCTGAAGAACAGCCTGAAGCTGCTCTCTTGAGTCAGAAGAATGAACAACCAAATTCTGGGAATTTCACCTCAGTCCTGATGTCTCAATGTTTTGTGGAAATCCCTTAGGGACAGATATTGTCCTCTTGCTACCTCAGAACTGGGAGAGTTTTGCGTAGGTAAATGTCAAACCCAGCCAGAGGAGTTGCTGCTTTACGGTCCAAGGAGCTCACACAGCCAGCACGAGGCAGATGAGTTGTCTTGTGCAGTCTCAACATACACTGGGTACAACTTGGCACTGTGTGCACCCACAATGAGGACAAAAATAGGCCCCACACTGGGGTAACGTAGAACTTTTCAATCCTTCGTCACGTGTACAAACTGCTGTAGCTCAGCCAGCCCTGAAGAACAGTCCCCAGAGAAAGTCTAAACCGTTCTGGAAAGCAGGGAAGTTCACCTGTGGTTGTTCATCCTCTGAACTCTGTAGATGACAAACATTTTGTGTGGGGTTTCATTGTCAACCCTTCCCCCCCCAGCTGCCAGGAGCGTGTTTTTAGCAAGGTGAAGTAAAGTGCCAAGGTCAGGGGATATGTTCAGGGAAGTTTAAATCTTTTAGAGAATTCTTCAGGGCATGTTGTGGTTGTCAGATTTCTTAAATGATTTTCTGCATTTGGACACTTCCCATCAGACAGCAGGAGTCATGTTGGGCCACGTACGTGGGATGACTGGTTCACTGCTCTCTGAGGGATTAGAATACTAAGCTAGCAAAAGCTAGTTTTTCACAGGGGATGTTTTCCTGAAATCAGTGTTGAGAACATTCTGAGAGGGGCCGTGGCAGCAGATTTTAATAATATATTTTAGTATATTGTGTATACTATATGTAAAATGTATTTTAAAGGAAATTAGTTAAAAACTTTGAAGGTAGATTAATGAGTTTATGCGGATTCTGAAGTGTCCTGCAAATATTTGCAAACTCTGAGATCTGTGCACATCACAAAGAAAATTTGCTTTTGCCTCTCTTTTAATGCTGCATTTTGGGCTACCTGCCGCTGGCACAGTCTGTTTAACTGATATGTTACATAAAATCCTTTTGCCCAATGCACTGCAGATTCGCTGCAGTGCACCTCTCCTAACTCAGAATGTATTTCCTGTCTGAAAGCAGAAAAAATGCCACAGGGAAAATGGGACAGGATATTGAAATTTAGTTCCCAAGCCTCAGCCTGCAGCGTGGGCTGGTTTCCCTCACTCCTTTTTGAGGTTCCTCAGAGCTCTGCCGAGTGTCTGACGGGCTTCGTCTCCTGGGATACTCATGGGTGGGCACTTGGAGCTGTATTTATGCATGGAATTCATATGGATCTCACCAGTGGTGCAACTAAACACCTCTGTAAAGCTGACTTCTGAAAATGGGTGAGGAAGGGCTCTGAGAAAGGGATGGTTTGAATATAGTAACACCTGGTACCATTTTTTGACGTCCAGTTTGTCCTTTAGAAGGTTCCAGCCTTCTCAGACTCCTCTAATATCTTCCTTCCAGAACATGTTATTTAGCAACAAGTCCTGCCAAAGAATAGTGAAATTTGCATTTTATAAGCAGTTTCAAATAATTAAGTTTATGAATCAAATAACTCATGTTGTCTTTGTGTCCTGAGATTTTTATTTCTAGACTAAGAAATGGATTTTTTGAGCTGTTACCAGTACACCCATGTTGTTGTGTGTGTTGAGGTTTATCTTCTCAACAGTGATAATTTTTTTTAAAGAAAAGAGATTAAGATCCCCCAGATTCTTTGAGAAAACTCTTTAAGAATTGCTAGACTTATACGTACAACCATAGGGTTCCCCTTCAACAAAAAATTTCTAATATTTCTATTATGGTTTTCTAAAATACTTCATTCATATTTTTTTAAGAATACTTCATTCTTTCTAATTGTTTTTCATGATATTTCTCTGATCATGGTTCTGTTTCTCAGTGCTGAAAATTGCTAAGGATATGAACTTAAAGATATAATATTCTATATATGTCCATATGGAATATGTAGCTTTTTGTATTATTTTGGCACATACATTCTGCTATTTCATGTTTTCAGTATATTATTTGCCTTTATAGTGTCTTTTATAAATGAATTATTATTGAACAGTATCTATCTTTCAATTTTAAAGAATCCCAACAGGGTTTGCTATCATCACCTTCACCTAGGAATTAGATTAAGAAGACTTTATTAACATGTTTATTATTTTCAACATGTTCAAAGACAACTGTGAGTAGACCAAATGCCATAAGGAAAGACTTTAGAACCTCTAGACTGCTGTATACCTTAGCAGAAAATATTTAGGCTGGTTTTGCTGTAAAAGGAAGAAAATGACCCTATTGTACATATCCAAGAGACCTACATAGAAGAGAATTCGCTGGCATAATTTTGTTGACTTAACTAAATTAATGCAATGCCTCAAAAAGCTCATGGATTAATGTTCACCTAAGGAATTTTTCTGATATAGTTGCAGCAGCAGAATTATGTAAGTGTATAAAGTCTGTCTCTCAGTACAGGATTTTTTTTTTTCCTTCTTCATGTAGCTCTAGTCCCTTCTATTTTACAGTCACTGTGTATGAACAATATCTTGATTTTTTTGTAATGGTTGCATTAGCGAAAATGGTGGCATCTATTTATGATACATATGTGTTTCAGTAAGTAGGAAAGCAAATGGCATGCATCAGAAAGTGATAGGGTGAATTGAAATATATCTTAAAACTTGAGGAAAAGGAATGATCACCAACCAGTCTCCTCCAAAATCTTCCTGTCAGCTTTTATGTTGATCAGTCAAAACAGACTCAATGTTGACTGCTAATAGGCATCTTTTATTCGTACGATATATTTTAGACATTCTGTTGAGGTCTAATGGCTTCACCATTAGAAAACCTGATTTATTTCATCTTTGGGTAGTAGTAGGTCTCTTGTGGGATTCCATTCACTGACATTTTTACAGGCATGAGGAAATAGAGGTACGGTGGTTATTAATCACCCAGTTGGGACAGGGTTATTTTAGAGGCTCTTTGGCTGCACTTACACAAACTACCATTGCATTTCATAGTCTGGTTTCTAAAATGTACTTGATTTTTATTTACTGTAACAACACAAACAACAGTGGGATCAAAATGCAGGAAGAAAATTTAGGGAAATTACTTAGTTGAAAATTTCCTATGAAGTTTTTTCCTTCACTTTGTGCAGTTACATTCTCCCTCTCCCAGTCTGACCTGTATATCACTTAGGAAGCCTGAAGTTGGGTTTGTAGTTTTGAATTTGGATAATATACACTGTATAAACATAACTATATAAACTATGTTTGAATTCTGACATGCAAATGATTCACTGTTTTTCTAATTTTTCTTCTTCCATTTGCTGCTGAATTTTCATTAAATACAAAATATATACTTAAAACAGAGAAAATGAATGAATCTTTTACTTAAATTTATTATCACTTTTTAGACTAGCAATGTAACTCTTCTCTGAGTGGCTGATAATAGAAGAAGAAAGTAATTTTGACAGTTTCCTGTGAAAAGGAAAAATATGTATGATGATTGTCCTATAGCTTGCAAAAGGTTGGGGTCACAGTTGCTTACCTATTCAGATGTAGAAAAGCGTGATGGAAAAAAAAATGCCACACTAGGAGTTACAGAAGACTCAAACCATCAGGATAGGGCTGGAATTTTTAGTAAGAACATCCTGTTGTATTCTTTTATTTGTGTCTATTTTAAACACTAGCACAGTTCTAACCTCATGCTATATATAGAAGACAGTACATATCCTATTGTTCATTCCAGTTATCCTAGTATCCTAAATGATACGAGGATAATCCTACAGATATTTAAAGATCTGTAAGGAATTGGTTGCTGTTTTAGGTTGCTGGTTTAAAATACATATTTTTAAAACTATGGGCTGTGAAACTAATCTTAGAAAATATAAATGGAGTGCGGTATTTCACTGTCAAGTTCTTGCAGTGTGATGATTCTTTTCTGTCGTGGAGTTACAGGCAAAAAAATCTGGGAGGTGATTTATGTTTGTACTTTTCTGTACAGAAGGAATTACCCCAGGAGTAACCCTTCAAGTTAAGCTGCCCAATGTGCTTCATTCACTGTTCCCACGTTAACTTTGCATAAATATCTGTGTAACTCCTGTTTGGTGGCTGGGTGAGATGACTGAGCTGGGTCAGGGTATCCTCTGCAGGGCACAGGACCTAATTTGTGGTAGTTCATTGTTGGTGGTCCTCGCTGGTTTAGAAAGTTCAGGAAAACTGCTAAACCTTAATTCTTCTGAAATCTTAATGTGAGAGAATGAACAAAGAAATTTCAGTCTCTGTAGCTGCAATAAGCAGTCCCTTTGTGAGGGGTCCTTCATAGTGATGGTACTATTTAGGGAACCATACTCTTCCTGGCACAGTTGTGCTCCCATTGATACGACAGCTAAGAAAAGAATTTAAACATTAATTCTAATTGTTTTTAAGTGAGTCATTGACAATTTAATCTGCTACAGAGTGTCCCTGCTAGTATTCCCAGCAAACAATGTAGGATATAAAAGGCTATTATACTCCCCTGCATCATATCACTCCTTTCCAATATTTGTCGCGCGCCTCCATTGTCACAATTCCTGACTTTGTGTGTGTTACATCTGTGCTTGAGAATGTTTTGCAAAGCAGCACAAATACTGTCTTGTAAAGCTTTCTACATATACGTGCTTTTATTCCCCCCAACAGACCGAGCCCGAAATTATAGAAGAAACAAATGTTGACCGTGTCAACGAGCCTCGGAATTACAGCAGGTCCCGTCAGGCCAAAGGCCACTCGGAGACCTCGACTTTAAGTTCTCAGCCCTCCATTGACGAGGTTCGGCAGCAGATGCACATGCTCTTGGAGGAGGCCTTCAGCCTGGCCTCTGCAGGCCACGGGGGCCAGAGCAGGCAGGACTCGTACGGCTCGGCTCCACACCTGCCCTACTCGGAGGTTGTGACCAGCGCGCCGGGCACCATGACCCGGCCTAGAGCGGGGGTACAGTGGGTACCCACGTACAGACCAGAAATGTATCAGTACAGCTTACCAAGACCAGTAAGTGAAGCTTCTTACCGTGATAATCCTAAAGGTATTTCTGCTCTGAGACGCATTTTTTTTTTTTTTTAAAGTAGTCCCATTTACGTACTTAAAACCGGATCTGCTCATAACTGTGATTAGTGGGGCATATGTGAACATGCTTACCCAGACACATCTCTTGCAGCCACACAAGTACACCATAAAGTCTCGGTATCTGTTTTAGCAGCAAGGTTGTCTTGACTAAATTGTGCTTGAGAGAATAGGCTGAACTAAGCCCCAGGCTGTTCAACAGATCAAAAACTTGTTTGCATGTCTCTCTCTGAATGCATATTAGGAAACAATGTGGTTTCACAGAACAACTATGTCAGCAGCTGGGTATGAAACATCAACAGTTCTGCATCACTGGAGAGGTCCAGCACTGAAGAGCATCATTGCAAGAGAGTGAAGCAAGTGTAATAGAGTGACCTGAAATGTGGACTGTTACTGACAGTCTTGCAATTACAACTATTGGCTTGGGACTCTAGGGAAGATTTAATTCCATGGGTTTCTTGGTTGACCTTGTAAGTCACTCTCTGTCCTTCATTTTCTAGCCTCAAATTGCAGCTAGTCACTCTTTATCCTTAATTTTCTAGGCTCAAATTGCAGCTAACATGTCCTTACCTCTCAGAAGCAACAAATGAATTAAGAACTTCAGTCTGTGGGTGGAAATTGTTAATGGAATTTTATAGGTGCCTAGGCAGCAGTCATAGTAGCACTGTGCATGCTCATGGCTTGTGAAGCTGTCCCTGGTAGTTTCACTACATATGGTATTGTGAAACTCAGCAACATATTTTCTTATATATCAGGTACAAATCTAAACCAGAGATTATTGCTTTCAGATGAGAAATAACCCAACTAATAATATTAGTCTGAAAATTGTCCATTTTAAGGTGCAGGGTTTTTTGTCAGAATTTTTTTTTTTTTTAAAGATTGCATTTCAAATTGAGTCCCTTACTCTGGCTAGAATAAGATGATAATGCAGAAAAATGTCCTCGCTTCAAAATAACCATTACCATGGCTTCCTTCCATGACAATAAAAAATACATTAAGGGATGCTGCCTCTGAACTATTCTGAACATACTTGAAAGCCAGTGGCACTGCCTGCAAAGGTTCAGGCCAGTGCTATTTAAATCATGCTAAAGGTTATTTCTGGCATTTTGAAATTGGTCCTATGAACTTCATACAGCATATAATCATATTTTATGGTTAGAATTCAATTAAGAGCTCAAGAGACAGCTAATGGGGAGTCAAATTACTTCAACACTTCAAAAGAACCTTCATAAAATGAAATTAAAAATATTATGTGGTGAGAGGTTTTTAAAAAATGTAATAGACGTACTTTTTTTGGTGAATGATTCACTGTTTTCTTTCTAAGACTTATTACTGTCCTAAATCGTCTGCATGTTTGGGACCTTTATGCATTTGCTTATCTTTCTGGCATTCTCAAGATAGTGTTAAATTCCCTGAAGATAGTTATCACCACAGATTAGGAGAGGCACAGGCTACTGGACTTTGGATGAGGGCTGGCAACTCATAGTTTTTCTGCATATCAGTTTCAGGAGCACCCAGCATTTTCTGGTTTGTTCTCAGATGGGGATGGAGGATTGTAATTGAAAATATCCAGCCAAGAGGTGCATGGGAAGTGACCTGTGGGTAGGAAAAACATGGAAGAATTACATCTCAGCACCTTAGGAGCTGATTGCCTGTCTGGGATACCTCTCCTCAGCAGCTCTGGGGGAGATGCTGTGATGGGGAGTGTGTGGGAGTGGGTTGGACAACATGTGGAGAAGGTGTCCAGGCTCAGTGAGCTGAGGGGTGAGTGAGCAACCTCTGAGAGCTTTGGGGATGAGAGGTACCTGTGCACTGGGATGTTGTTACCTCTGCAAACCAAGAATTATTTATTTTTTGCCCTTTTTTAAACTTCAGTTCTTAGTGGCAATTAAAAGTCAACATTAACAATGCTGTTATAATTTGAAATATGGATTCAAGAACATTTTCCCTGCTTATTCAGAACAAATTCAGACATTGGCTTTACTGTTGAGTCTTTAGATACCAGGCAAATATAAAAGTCTTCAGTGTGTCACTCCCTTCTGAGATCTGGCTCCTCACAGCCCAGTTACATTAGACTAAACTTTTTACAAGACCCCACAAACTTTCCAGTAACTTGGTTTTATAAAACCTAATGCAAAGGCATATCATAGGTGATACAAGTGCTGCATAAGATTTCTAGCATAGACATGCTCTGTCTTTATCAAGCAAAAATTTTAAACAGATTGAGGCAAAAAAGCAAAATTCTGCATGCAAATCTCCACCTCAGTGTTGGCCTCTGTCCCTGAGTTTTTGTGCCATCTGCTTTCAGTGGTCCAGAACCCCTCCTCAAGTCTGTGTTTCTTCAGGTGTCCTCCAAGTTACGGATCTTTGGTTTCTTGGCTAATCCCACCATCAAGCTGCTGTGTATCTCTCCAGAGTGTGCATGCATCTTCTTTTTCCTTTTCCTTTTCCCTTTTGAGGCCTTCTGTGTGTTTTTTTTGTTTGTTTGTTGGGAGTTTTTTTTTACATGCTAATATTAATACCTAAATTATCTGTGGCTCTTGTGAGGAAATGCCTGTTTCCCAAACTGCCCATTGGGTCACCTGTGAAAACAGGATTCCTTCTTATGGGGCTCACATCTTCTCCAGGCAGAGAAAAGCAAGTGAAATGCAAAGCCTTAGTGTTGTTCTGGAGCCTCCAAAAACATGCTGAGTAACACTTGGCTGAGTCCTTGTCATCCAGCTGGTATGCTGTGACTGGAGGATGGAGTTATAGTGCTGATTGTGTGGCACAAGCCAGCCTTGGATCTTGGCAGATCATATTACTGCTTTGGAAATTTGCTCAGCTGAGTCAAGCCAAGAGCTAAGGCCAGGGAAGAAAACCCTCTTTATTACAGGGCTGGACCAGTTCCCATCTCTCCTCTTCACTGCTCTGGAAAGAGGAGTGATAGTTACAGAGCTCTGTGTCCCAAGGTGACATGTAGCACCATGAACAGACACTGATGACCAAGACTTGCAGGCTGATAATGTATCCATGTCCTCAGAGCTTCTCTTCATTTAACAGAGGTAAAGAGAGGTATTTTACCAAAATTCAACTACTTTCAGTAACAGCAGCTAAGTTTAAAACAGGACAGCTATTAAAGCAAAACCAAATCAATAAGTTTGTATTATTCCTGGATTGCAATTTCATAACCAAATTAGGTAAATCATTCAATGAGTAAACAAAGACACTGCTCAATTTAATAACCAAATTAGTCAAATCATTCAAAGAGTAAACAAAGACACTGCTCTTTTAATTTGCATGGTGAGATGTAAGGAGATGGATATTTCTGTAATTAAAATGCAACGTGGAATAATTTCACCCAAGACAAGTCTGTAAGTTGGGGATGATAAAAGTCTTTAAATATTGCAACCAGGGGAATGCAGCCTTAAAGCCAACTGCAAAGTTATTGTGTGCTGGCCTGTGAAGACAGGCTGAGAGAGCTGGGATTGTTGAGTCAGGAGAAGAGAATGCTCCAGGCAGACTTAAGAGCTCCTTCTAGTACCTAAAGGTGAAGGCTGGAGAGAGATTTTTAGTAAGGGCATGGAGCGGTAGGACGAGGGGGAATGACTTTAATTTGACAGAGGGCAGGTTTAGATTAGGTATGGGGAAGGAATTCTTTAGTCTGAGGGTGGAGAGGCACTGGCACAGGTTAACCAAAGAAGTTGTGGCTGCCCCATCCCTGGAATTGTTCAAGGCCAGGTTGGATGGGGCTTTGAGCAACCTGGTCTAGTGGAAGGTGTCCCTGCCCATGGCAGGAGGGTTGGAACTGGATAATCTTTAAGGTCCCTTTTCTTTCCTGCATCCTGACAGGTGGGACATTAGACTTTTGTGGGTTGTAGAAGACAGTGATGCAGGTGTCTGCTGGTGGCTGAACTTTGTCTTCCAGAGGGTTTATCTTCCTGGGCCCAAAGGCAAAAACCCTAAAGATCCTTTTAAAAGGATTTTTTTTGAAGAGTAAAATTAGGAAAATCTGTGAAATCAGCTGGGTTGTGGATTTTTTTCCCCCTCTCTGATTGGATTCGCAATGGTGTACAAATTTCAGTGAAGTGACTTTAATTCTACATGATTCTCTAATCATGCTGGTTAGCCAAGAACCTAAGGGCTCATCTAAATCTGCAACAGGACTCTACAGTAAAACTTTAATTTAATTTTGCTTCTGAACATTTTTTTCTGTTTATGTGTTGCATGGAAGAAAACACTAATACCCCAACCCATTGGAGAAATTCTAGAAATTTTATTGGAGTTCCCTCTCATAACCATCTAGGTGTCTGTGGAAGCTCAGCATGAGGACTGACTGTTCTCAGCATGCTGTAGCAGATCTTTTTACAGGATTTTTCACTTTAACAGGATTCTCTCTGCCCAGCCACTAGCAAAATATTGCCAGTCACTCAAAATTGTTCATCCCCTGTGTAAGCAGCAAAATAAATGCTTCGATTTTCTATTTTACTTTTTTTCCCAAAAATTTTCAGTGCAAGTCGCAGCATATATGTGAACTGTGATCCCTTAAAATATCTCCTAGGATGTCCTTATTCCAAAGCACATCCACTAACACACAGAAGAGAAAACCCAGATCTACTCTGAGTCTCTGCCAACCCTTCTAAACAGTGTCTGGAGTCGCTTTCCACCCTGAAACATTATCTCATGTGCTGTTCCTTTAAAATAGAGGGAATAAAAAGGATTTCATACTTGGTACAAATGCATGCTGAGAGCAAGATGTGGGATGAAAGGCTTGTGGAGCCAGAAGGAAGTGTTCAGCCCAGCCTGTGAGAGCACTGCCAGCGTTTGAGGTGCAGAAGAGGCATTGCAGACCATTTCACATTCAGCACTATTAGAAGAAATATAATTGAGGTTTTTCTTTGATGCAAATAACATTTGTTTTTTTTTCTTTACAGTTCTTTCATTAAAAATCAGTATTTCCTGGCTAAGAAATGTAGCAGTGCCTTTTGAGTTTTCTTTTTCCCTACCTAAATGTAGAAATTCTTTAAATATCATGGCAGCGTGGTGAAAGTAAATATTAGGAGACTGTAGGTGGCATGAAAGAAAAAATTATTTTCACAGACATGCCTTTGAGGGTTTCTACCCTGCTTTAGTAGGGGTGGCAGTGAGAGGAGGGAGGAAGATGCTTGGTCTGTATTGCTTTTCCCTTGGAGACACTGACATCAAAAGTCAGTGTTTGATAAATTACTTTTCCTCCTTGTTAACCCAGTTTTGCAGGTATTTGAGAAGGAAGGTATTGGAATACGGTCTAAATGTGTAATTTTAAAAGATGATTACTGAAAGATAGTGTTTTCTGATACGCAGTGTGGGATTTATATGGCCAAATTCAAACCTAAATGTAGGTGTTAAGTCTGAACTAATCATATAAATCCTGTAGGCTCTTTCTACAGGCGGGAGATAGAGCGTGACTCATCCCATGGGGACGTGTTTTTAACTTTCTCTGCTGTTTCTGGAGGGAGTTTCTCTGGCTGAACCAGATACCTCTTGTTTAGAGGGCCAAAGTCCCACCACTGGCCTCCATTTTTTTTGTCAAAATGCCCGTGTCTTGATAGTGGACAGCCTTCCCAAAATTTGTTGTTTGTTATTGCTCTGATTTTATCTTTAATCCTGTGCATTGCTTTGAAGCATTGTCAAGAAAAGCATAATTTAAAAAAAATCACAACCAAACAATGAAACAAACAACAAAAACCCCAAGACCCCCAAAAACCCAAGAAAACCAAAGTCTCACCCATCATATGTTGAAGAAAAGTGTCAAAGAAACACTAATGAGATACCATTCCTTCATCTTTAGGTATATTTAGCAAAATTATGACCTCTAATCTATAGCAGTACAAATAATTTAGAAGGGAAACATTGTCCAACCTGTCATTTTTTGAGTGCCATGGGTTTCATGCACATGAATACTCATCCCTCACACCTATTAGTGATGAAACTCAGAATTATTATGGGCAAGTTGCTGAATTTTGCGACTTAGTGGGTTGGTCCTGTGTTCCTCTGCATCAGTCTGCCTTTTCAGAACTGTTTGAGGCCTTTGTTGCTGTGCTAGAAAGTTACAGAGCTTGGGGGGTTTGGGAAGAATTTTCTTTTCATCTCTTGAAGGCTGAAAGGAAGAGGTTGAAATATGGATTGCTCACAGGCGGCTTCGCCTCACGACGTGTTCTGAGGATGCTTTCTGAATCTTTAAAATACTTTCTTTCTTCCTGGAGGAAGATACTGAGGTCTTTTTCCTGTGGTCCAAAACAGCTGTTGAGTCTCACACAGTCATAACACATCTGCTTTGCCAGCAGGTTACAAATGTCACAGAGACAGTATTTAATGTATTTTATTTTAATTAGGCTTCATCTTGTCTCTGAATTCATTCGTTCAGGTTTTCTTCCACATTCTAAAATCACCAAAGCACTTTAAATTCTCAAATAAATGCAATTACTATTGATGCCACAAAAATTTAACTTCCTGTTGAAGGGCACATGGGGTAGGTATTTAATTTCTGACTTTCTTTAGGTTTTTAATTTGACTGAGCTCTACTGGTGTTTCAGAAAATATTTGTTTTTCTCCATTACAGGCTTATAGATTTTCTCAGCTTCCTGAGATGGTAATGGGTTCTCCTCCCCCTCCTGTCCCTCCCAGGACGGGTCCTGTGGCTGTTGCCTCTCTCAGGAGGTATTTATCTTTTATTTTATTTTAGGTATGATCTTTAAAAACCGCTGTTGTAATAAGAACTGGGGCAAACCCTGAAGGGGCACTTAAAAGGCACTTATAAAGACACATTCATGAAATTAGAAACATGTTGGGTTTATTTAATTTCAACACAAAGAGAAATAACAATGAATTTTCCTCTTCTATTAGCTAGTCTGCTTCAATAATAGGAAATGCAGGCTGTGATTTCTTTTAAAGCATGCTTTGCCTCAGCACACATAATGACATATTGGATTGAGGGTGTGTGGTAGATAATTCACACCATCATTCTCCTGCTTTTCTGTATGGTAAGGGCTTGCAACAGGATAGGGGTGAATTGCAAGATGCTTCTCAGCACCCTCAGGTCTGGGGACATCTGCCCAGCTCTCAGATATCTCATACCTGCATATCTGAGCCCAGATATGTGCAAGAGCCTGATTGCCTCAGCTCAGCACGTGCAGTTTGCCTCTTCCTTGCACTAAGGCATTTGATTGAATGCATTCCAAGGAATTTTTGCTCTTCTGTGGTGGAGGAACTCATTTAGCCCTCAGTGCTGTGTTGGCAGGTCTGAGGCACCACGGGCCTGTGGAGGTCTGTGGAACAGAGGCCAGAGGAAACATTTCTGAGTGGCTGCTTATGATACTGTAACTGCATCAAACTATTCAGGATATGGACATAGTGAACGTTTACATGTTCTTGTTCATCCATTACATTTTAACTCTGAAGCAGCTGGGACACACCATTTCCAAAGATGTTAGTACTTGCCAAGTGCAGCTAACATCATTTACCACAGTAGTCTCCTACTACATGATACCATATCATGCATACTGTAGTGTTGTGGTGCTGCTTGCAGCCTTGGGTTGGTGAATTATGGTAAAGCTCTGGGTTTTGTGTTGCATTTCACAGGCATTTGTTTGAAGCAGCAAGCAAAGGCTCTGTACAATGGTAATAAAGTGCTCTGGCAAAAGAGTGACCAGGCTAAAGAAGTTGTCTGCAAATTTCTCCAGACTTACTGTTCTCCAAACTTCTGTCGTGCCAGAGCAAAATTGGGTAGCTCATTCCCAGCTGGCTTGTCCTGCTGTAGCTGATAGGCATGTATGTGGCTATAAATCTCTTCTGTAGGTCAGAGTGACTCGAGTGTCTATTTTTTTCTTTCCTAATGCACAGGTCTACATCAGATATTGGCAGCAAAGTGAGAATACCTGAGTCCAGTGGAGCAGATCAGGCCCAACATCATGATCAGACAGCTTTTGCACCTGGTTCGAGAGCTCCAATGTCTGTTGGTCCACTTGATCAATCAGCTTTTCACTCAGGTGAGAAAATAGTGCGGACTCAACTTGCAGCTTTGAGAGCCTTATATATTATTTTGGATACAAATTGAATGCATGGGATATAGCAAATATGGATGATTATTTGGAGAAAGATGTGTTAGGTGGGGTCTCTCCTGGTGCAACTGAGAGAGACCTACAAAGGGTTTCCTGCCTCTTTGTAAATGCAGCATCAGCTGCATTGTAAAATACTTACCCTGCAGAAGCACCAGGAAATTGTCTTTTCTGAAGGTGAGATCCAGCAATACTGTCCCAGATGTTCTTTGTTCAAGTATGGCATTCTGCTGGCTCCCTAACCAGGACTCTGAATTACTAAATCTCAGTAAAAATGTTCATCAGTGCCATAAAATCCAGTAGCATTTTTGGGGCTGGTGTAGAGGGCATTGGTAGCAAAAGCTGAAGTGGGGGCACTGGGACTTCTGTGTGACTTGTATGTTTGTGTTTCACCATGTACAAACCAAGCAAAGTGGGAGAGAGAGATAATGGGGTTCTGAGGGGCATGGAGAAAGGATCCTTTCATTATTTTATCAGTCAAGAATATCAGTCCAAGTGCTTGATAACAGAGGATGTACAATGGAGCTGTAAGTTATACTACCATAGGGAGGCTAACTGGCACTAAACTCTGCTTGATGTGTCAGAAAAGGGGAGAAAAGTGGACATAAAGAACAGCATGTGAAACACTGAGGTTTTCTAACCTTTCTGTGGGATGAGTTTTATGACTCCCTGTTTCCTGTGGAGAAACTTAACCCCTAGTCTTGTCACAGCAGTGGGCTGCTGAGGGAGGTAAGTTGAAAATATGTGCTCCCTTCCCTTCAAAACAGAAGGCAGTGGTGCTTTTGCACAGTCAAAGGTAACAATCTGTTATTTCATCACCCCTCCTGCTTTGGACAATAAAGTTCCTGCCCAAATGCAGAAAATATTTTGGGTCTGAAAGTCCCGGTTTTAAAGACCTAACCAGTTCCTGGTCCTTTTGATATGAATTTTGTTTATAAATGAATTGATTTAATAATGAGATTAAGCTGATACACTGTTTTGATAGTATCTGGATAACAGCTGGAAAAATACTTGAAATAGCTCCTTCTTGAAGAGCTGTAGAAAAGAGCTTACAAAATCAAAAAGAATTTTATGTTGTCAGTTCAAAGTTTTGAAATTAGAAGGTTTGTTAGACATTGCTCTGTTAATCTGCCAGAAAAATGTCTTTCTTAGCTTCCTCAGAAGTAATAGTTACCTGCATTGTCTTCAACATCATCTACTGAGAATAATAATGTGGATATGCAAATGTGTTGTCAATTAATTAAATACAGTAGGTTTGAAGGATCCTACACTCACTCATTGTCATCCCTTCTGGAAATGGTGCATGTGAATCTGAAAAGAGCAGATGCTCACCCTTTCATTTTAAAACATTTCGAGCTATAAAATATGCCTCACTACCAAGAACCCTTCCTGTATGTGTGCAGTAATATGATCTGTGGGATTTGCTTTTTTATCAGTTCCAGTGATGGGGAGGTTTTATTGCTGTGTGTTAAAAGCAGGTATCTTGTGCTACTGCTGAAGAGTGGCTGCATTTCAGAAGAGACCAAGTGACCTTTGTGTATATTGTGGAGTTTACCAGAATAATTCTGGGAGTAGCTGGAGGAGACTTTCACGTATGACAGGCACTACAAAAGGCTATAATATAGGCAGGGAAAGACAAGGAGAGCTGTGAGAAATGTGCAACTGTAATGCAAGTTTTCTAATGTTCTGATATGAAAATAAGTTTTTGTTGTCTCAATACATGAAGAAACATTGCTGCAGGTGCTGATTTGGAATGTAAGGGTCTAATGTCACTCTCATCCAGCCCAACATCGGCTCTAAGATAATGATGTTGCAGTAATAATTTAAGATAAAGTATTACATCATCTAACAGTGATCATTTTGAATAATAGCTCATTTTTCTGTGGTTAAATTAAAAGAGTGCTTTGATGTAGAAGCCATGTGTCATGTACAGGAGCACCACTGTATTCTCTGTACATATCTGAAGAATATTTATTTCCAGCTTTGCTAACTCATTTGAAATGGCAACCCTTGTGCTGTTTATGACTTGGAAAGAACTAGGCTTGCCCACAACTCTTCTCTCAGCCCACCCACCTCCTTCCAAACCAAGGGGCTGGAGGAACTGGGATAGAGGCCCTGTGAGATACCCTGCAGTGCAGGCATACATTGTAGATCCCACTGGTCCATAGTAGTTCCACAGTGGACTGCTTCACTGAGGGCTGACTCCAGCATCCTGCCTGACACAGGTGAAAAGGCACTATATCCCAAAGCCAAAATGAAAGCTTAGTCCCTAACAGTAGAAAACACTGTGTAGATGTAAAGCACAACAGAGAAGTTTTTAGTCCATATTTTGGATGACAATATCTCTCTCATGGTTTCTTCCAATTTTTAGCTTGTTTTGGTTTTTTGTTTGTTTGTTTTGGAGGGGGGCTTGTTTTTGTGTTTGTTTGTTTGTTTTGGGGTTTTGGAATTTTTTTTATTTGTTTGTTTTGGTTTTTTGGTTTGGTTTGGGGATTTTTTTTTTTGAGACAGTGTTAGAACAGATGATATGTTTCTGCTCTGGAGAAAAATGTTCTACAAAATATATTTTTCTCTTGTTTGCATGCCTTGATTGCATCCAGAGCACTTCTGGCCTGGGAGTCCATGGGAGGTCATTGAGAAACTATAAATCTCTGAGTTTGTGGAGACTGCTTTGGGGATGGATGTCACTGGTTGAGCCTTTCTATCTCTGTGCATGTGCCCATGCAGTGTCTGCATCACCTATGAGAGCAGATAGCATAACCCACTTGTAAATGGTTCAGAAGCAAAAATGTGCCAGGGCTGTAAATGACATTCTGGGGGACAGATAAAGGTATTTGAAGCAGCCAGTAATTGATGCTAATTCAATTATACTCTGTGTGAATTTTAGGGGAATGCCTATATCTTGTGATTTTGTCAGCATAGTGGTATCATATCTTCTGAGAGCAATTAGTAGCAATATTCAAACGATGTGCAGTTGGAAGGGAGAGTATTTTCTCTGCATTGATTCCAGTACAGAGAATCTGTCCATCTATGTAACATTACACTCCTTCCATTCCTCAGTGAAAATGTTTGAGTTGTACTTTGTTGTGTTCTTATGGGGTTTACTGCCCCTTCTGCTTTCACAGAAAGGACGTTATTTTTGCTATATTCTGTGAACCTGAAAAGTAAAATACATGTCCATGTATTATAACTGAGTACTCAAATCATACTGTACACGTGCTTTGTTTACTAACTGATAAAGATGATACACAGCTCTCCCACCCAGGATTTAGGGATGAGGATTTTATGACCTTAGTGTAGTAGTGGTACAGTTCTGGAGTCTTGTCTTCACATGTAAATAGACAGTGGAGGAAGGAAGACTTACTGGACAAGCAAGATGTTTATATTCTATTCTAAACTTGGCAAATACACAGGGTTATGAGAGCAAATCTCAAGGGCAATAATGGGAGAGCACATCTGGTCTTCTAGGCAGCCTGTGGGTAATCTCTGTAACTGCAGCAACAACCACATTGCCCTCTGCATCTCTGAGCCACAGGAATAAATCCTACCTGAAAGCAGGTGTAACCATACCCAGAGATTTGGCTGAAACTTATGCTAGGATGGCTGGTTTCTTCCACTCGAATTAGAGTGTGAATTTTAGTGGGTGGCTTCCCGGACATCCCTCTGCATGCATCTTGATGAAGACATGATAAACCAGATTTGGTGTCAACAAATTCCCTTGGAAATATTTATTTAAGTTGAAGCTGCATAGTTTATTGCAGTCATAGGGTGTTCCTGGGAAAGGAATTGAGCAGGCAGAACCTTGGTATATTTAGAGAAGCAATGAAGTTTCATGATGGAGTTGTTGGGAGTACAGCCTGCTAAACATATCAGTCACTCATTTTTGTAGGTTTTGTGCCTGGAGATGTTAAGAAAGATTGCATAAACCATGAAAAGAAAGGTGCATTATGCTAAAAACCATGGTAACAACAGCTAAAAACTGAATACAAGGAAGCAAATGTAAGGGGGGAAAAAAGCCTTTTCTCTTATGATTGAAAGTTTTGATGAAGATCAGCTGTTACAAGGGTCAAGTTGTAAAGACTAAGTCCTTGTATGTACCTGAAGGCTGTACAGGTTTATAAGGACAACTGCCAATCTTGCTTTCTCCAGTATTTCAAATCATAGAGATGATTTGAAAGAGCATCATAGAGATGCTCTTTCCAGAGAGTGGGAACCTTACAGACAACCAGTGGCGATCACATTCTCACAAAAAAAACCCCCCAAAACCCCAAAAAATTACCATTCAGCGAAGTTGTTTCACAGCGCTGTCTTCTAATTTATACCTGAAAATCTCAGCTATTAATTATGTCTACTCTTTTTTATTATTATTTATTTATTTAATAGGAAATACGGTACCAGCAGTGTTTGCCATACCAGCAGCAAACCGACCTGGCTTCACGGGCTATTTCATCCCGACACCACCCACCGCATACAGGAACCAGGCCTGGATGCCCTATGCTGGAGAGAGTGAGCTGCCAGGCCAGTGGGCAGACTCTGTAAGCATCCCTGCTTTTCTCACTGCTTATGTTTTCTGTGATTCACACAGGAGGTGTTTTAAGTAATTCTTAAGTGGTCAGCAAGGATAATTTTTCCTCGAATGGGAATAATCTCTAGTAGTGAAAAGCCATAGGAGAGGGCACAGATACTTCAGCTGGCCATCCCATGGACTGTGAGCAAGGTCTTTAGACAGTGAAATAATTCACTAGGTTAGGGTCAGGCACCTGTTTAAAGTTGGCGGGTTAGATATAATTTTTCTTTCCCAAGACAGAGGTTAAATATTTGGATAGACACGTGACAGGAGAGGGTGATGCTGCCTCTCAAGGTGGCCTTGTGCTGTTTGAAATTTGGGGAACGTCTTTGCCTCCTGAAGGCTTCTCTCCAGACAGCCAGAACCCTAGCTCTGCACTGCTGCAACCCTGCTGTGCAGTGTTTCGAGTTCTTCTGCAGGCTGGAGTGACAGATCATAAATTAAATAATTAATTGCACAATCCTAGACTGGAACAGATGTAATTTTTAGCCCAAAGTAAACCTACATTTCAAAGAATTGAAGTTGGAACATCCTAAAATGAATTGCAGTAGTTTGTCATGTTTGAAACAATTTCTCAAATGTAGGGCTTTTTCTCCACTAGGGGAAAAAAAAGATCAATTCTGCTGTTTGAGCTCACATCTGGTATTTATGCAGAACCACTTTGGCTAAAAAGACTGGGAGATAGATTCTATTTCCTTGTGCAAATCATTAACAGAATATTTTAGTGAATTGCAGTTGAAGGCCAAGTTGGCTTTGAGCAACTAAGCAAGAGACAACATGGTCATATAAATGTTCCTGGGGGCAGCTGTTTGTTGTCAAACTTTTTTACTGCTCCTGATGCCTGTGAGGAAAAGAATTCAGTATGACTTTGAGATGCAAGTCTGAATTTGTAGGCAGAACTGTCAAGAAAAAATAAAAGATGTTCCTCTGTAAGGTGAGCACACCTGCTGGAGTGCCCTGACATCTGGAGGCTTGTGATGCTGTTGTTTAGATTTCCTTCCCAGAGCTGCCTTTTAAAGCATGAAAAAACCTATTTTCTTTTTTTTTTTATTGTTGTTGTTTTGTTGTTTCAGGGGTTTGTTTGTTTGTTTGTTTTGTTGTGGTTTTCTTTCATTTGTTTGTTTGTTTGGGTTTTTTTTGTGTTTGAGTGATTTTTTGTGTGTGTATTTTTAACCTTACTGACATTTTAAATCCAGGAGGCCTGCTGTATCATAGCAATTTTAAAGTTTTACTTTAATAACTAAAAAAGCCACAAAACAGATAAGGAAAGCTATTTTACTGTCTTCCATTCTTTTTCCCCTTTTGTATCCCTACTCTTGGCTGCAGTCTCATGAAAAAATAGTTAGATATCACTTGCTAAAAGTGGAGACTGAAAACAAACTGGACAAAACTGGAAAACAAGTCTCCAGCTCCAAGTTCCTTCCTCTGGAAGGAGAAGAGTGTTTCCTTGTCTTCAGGGAAAGAGGTGGCACAGTTAGAGCCAGTGGACTATACACAGAGGAATGGAGAGGGATGCAAGAATCTGTCTGAAAAGTAGCGGTGACTATAGAATTCAAAAGAAACAAATGTCCCTTTAACTTCACTTACCCATCCCAGAGCTTTAACAACTTCTTGTTTCTCAGACTTTCATCCCTCTAGTGGCATTGCAGAAGAGGTAAAAATGTAAACCCAAACCACTGCAGTTTCGACAATGAATTTATATCTCCCAACGAATGCAATTCTGTCAAGAAATTGTCTTTATTTGAAAATGATTACTAGAGGAACTAGTGATAGTGTTAACGACATAGCATGGTCAGAAAGCCTAAATAAAAGTGAAAAGTATAAACATCTAAAGTAATAATCAGGGTTAGAGTTTCTGGATGTGTCTTGGTTTCTGAGCCTTTATATTATAACTTGATCGTACTTCCAAGATTTTCTTAGAGTTAGCAAGAACAGAGGCTTAATATCTGTAAGAAGAAAATTAAAATTCTCTACTTTTCATGCATTTTTACTAGCCTGGACTGTTAAAAAGGGAACAGAGGAAACTTAATTTACTATAATATGTTATTTTCTGAGTTAAATGGTAAGTACTGAAGCACTAAGTTTTTTGGGAAAAGGCACTTACCTTCCAGACTGCTGGATGCTGCTTGGTGAAATCAGTAACCTGGTGGCCTCTAGTGGTGTGTTCACATGTTGTCCTACTGAAATCATCTTTTTAATAATCTGCTGTAAACTAAACAGAGGTGCCTGCATCTAATGATCACTTTCATATCATGCCTGCTTCCTATGTTTGACTCATCATTCCGTACTGTTTGACATTCTCTTCATTGCTTGATGGATATCCAAGATTGCAAAGAGCATCTGTAAATCCTAGTGGTCAAGGCTTTAAACATAAAGCCTGCTTTAAAATTAAGGGCTCTTTTATACTCTTCTGCAAAATATAAATACTATTTTTATTTAATGTGTTAAAATCTTCTGAGTGCTGTGAAGACTGGTATCGTGGTTCATGGATTTGTGGAAGAAATTAAATCTCACGCAGTGACTAAAGGGCCTACATTATTATTTTAGTTTTAGCTGGTGTAACAGGGGGCTGAAATCAGAGAAGTTACAACAGAGTAAAACTGTGAATCCCCCATGTGATTCTTTTAAATGTAGCCAGAAATCTTGATACTTCTGAGAATCAAACATTCTTTTCAGTCTTGAGTTTCCAAGTTGGCATACCTGAGCTTATCTCCGTTGTCTGGATCTACTGCATTCCTACCAGGAAAAGTGAGACCAGAGACTTGGCTGACTTGGATTAGACAGTGGCTGCAAATCAGAAAACTCTGCTTTTCTGTTCCAGGCTTTTTGGTGTCCTGAAATGTAGTCATGCTGTCTGTTTAAAACTGAAATGTTCAGGAGGAATGGTAAGCAGAGAACACACTTTCGGAAAGAAACTTTTCCCTCTGACTTTTTGAGGTGATGATAAACGAGGACGTGCAGTGTTTCCCCTGCCTGGTGGTGTTTTTGCTGCCACAGCTGGGAGTTGAGTACCTGGTACACGGACACGTGCATAAATGGCACGTGCCAAATTAAACATTTGTAAACAGAAGCTTAGGATTATGAGGTTTGCATTCCCTTCGTATGGTCCTGTCTGTTCCATCTGACTCCGGCCCAGGGAGGTTTGTGCTACCTGGCAGGTGGCACCACAGATCAGTTGTTCTCTGTAACTTTGTATAATTACAATTCTCTACAGGTTCCACTTCCTGGGTACATCGAGGCTTATCCGAGGCCCCGCTACCAACACAACTCCCCGTCACGCCTCCCTCGGCAGTACAGCCAGCAGGCAGGCATGCATCCCAGCCTGGAACAGGCTCCTCTGCCATCCACAGCAGCTTCCCAGCAGAGCCTGACGGAAAACGACCCCTCTGATGCACCTCTCACCAACATTTCCACGGCTGCCCTGGTAAAGGCAATAAGAGAAGAAGTGGCCAAACTGGCCAAGAAGCAAACCGATATGTTTGAGTTCCAAGTCTAATGTCTTTTGTGCACAGTATTTGTACCTTGCAACCTGGGGTAGCCAAGGAAGTGACTGCTTTAATTTTCAGTTACAAACTTGCTGCGAATTGCGCCGAAGTGTGATGGCATTTTAATCTGTCTGAAAAGTCAACGCTATGAAATGACTTAGAGTAGAGCAACAGGACTCTGAAGATATGTAATCCTGCTTGCCAGCTGAGGAAACGCTGCCAGGAAACTGTTTCGTGTGGATAAGATTGACCATATGCAATTGTTTGTCACTTAGCTCTAGTATTATGAGCCATCATCACCAGAGATGCTGCTGAACATGTCTGCTCCACACAATGTTTCATTTGCAGGCCCAAAGGCAGAGCTGCTGAAAATAACTTCTGCATGTCAAAGCTTTGATTAAAGAAGAAAATGCCACAGAACGTGGTTGGCTAAAGGCCACGGTCGGTGTGGTGGTGGCCATGGTAATTGTTTGCTGCAGGACATTGTATAAGGGATGCTGATCTCACCTGTGGGGAGTCATTCAGCCTTTTCATTCCAGAGACTGCATTCAAAGCAAAAGAATTCAAGATGAGTAAGTAATACAAATAAATGTCCTGTAAATAGCTCCGATTCTCTTCATCTTATTAACAGTACAAAGAAGTGAAACAAGAGAGGGCTGTGAAGAAGGTGAATGATATTTTGATAATTGGTGGCTACCTTGTCCATCAGTGCCACCACTTAGTTATGGAGGAGACTTTTTTCAGTGTGAGAGAATACAGTGCACAAAGGGCCAGCAAAGGATATTGGTGCTAAAAGCTTCCAAGAAGAATGAAAAAAGGTTATTCGCGTTTGCTCTATAATCAGACTTTTCACTCTGAATGCATGTGAAGCTGGTAAACCTGAGACCTTTAACTTTTTCCAACCTGGAAAAAATGAATACACCTGCTTGGACAAGAAAACCTCTGTTCAACACAGTTCTTTTTTTCTTTTTCTTAAACAATGCTATCTACTAAAGTGATGCCAGAAAGTGCTACCCAAAGCTGCAGTTGATGACACTGGAACAGTGAATGGGCATCTAGGAAGTTCTGAATGTAGAGGACCTAATTATTATATTAACATGTAAATAATTTAACAGTTACATGGATTAACAAAAATACTAATGTTCTGTGAAAAAGAGAGCATTGCCAGAAATTATGCTGACTTTACATTGTGCAAGATAAAGGTCACTGATCGTTAAACTGCATTGTGGTATGAATCCAATCCCAAAAGAATATCAAACCAGTTGAATGGGACAGTAGTTAATATTTTGCAGTTGTACAAACTAGTTGGAGATCATGAAAAATTGTTTTCAGTTCCTTCAGCAGTTTAGCTTTGGGAACTGAAGATGTTGCAAAATTTGTTGTGTTGGGCGTGTTTGATGTCAACTGGAATTAAAGGTAATGTCCTTCATTTCAGTAAGTTATTTAGTTATTCTCAATTACTATTTTGTCTGATCATTTCATTTCCCTGAGTTTCTTTGGTCTTTACTGATGTGAGGAAGGGAACTTAGTTTAGCTTTTTGACCACCAGTAAATTGAAAGAAGGAGAGAGAAGACTAGAAAACAGGATAGAAGCAGAAATTTGATAAAGCACAAACTTTTAAAGCAGAGCTATTTTTCCCCTTATAATGATATTACAAACCCTTACTGAGACTGTGATACATAGTTATCCTAGAATATACAGATATCTTCTGCTCCAATACCTTAAATATTGCAGAAGCCTTTGGAATGCTAGTTAATCTTTCAATAAATGTGAAATTTCATTTTTATTATTTAAAATCAGATATAAATAAAATGTATTTTTGTAATTTGTATGTATATATGTGCTGTATATTTTAATAAGTGACTAGTCTGCTATAGTCAGAAAATTTCCATAAACCGAGAAGAAAAAAAAAAAGAAAAAGAAAGGAAAAAAAATTCTGGTAATTTTAATGATTGATTTAAACATGCTATGTCCGGAGTACAAAAATATACATTTGGGTGACTTGGATACTAAACAACCAAAGAAACTCAATCTTTCATATCAATACAAGTCTAGTAAAGACCAACTGCTGTCTCAGTTACCTGTCAACTAAGTAATACTGATCTCATCAGTGTAACAGAATACAGCCAAATTGTGTTGAATTAATAGCTGCCTGAGAACATCACACTTTAGAATAGCAACTTCAAAATACTGGGCCAGACTCAATGTGCCATAAAAGGGCTTGTTCTGGTTGTCTTCAGTGGGAGCTTCATGCACTGAGAGCAAGGCTGAGTTTCTCTTTTGGGCTTCATCTATACATAGGAATTTCACTAGAACCCCTTGAGCAGGATTCTGCTTATTTTTCTGTCATTTGGATCACTGTAACATAAGTGCAGACATAATGGAAGAGCAGCTCACTTTTATTTAGCCTAAGCTGGTTCATAACTGGCTTAACCTAACTTGGGAAGCGAAATCCACTCCAAGTCACATCAGCCACATCTCGCATCAGCTTTGTTATCTCAGCTTTTCAACGATTCTTCTATTTAGCCCAGTGAAATTTTGCAAGTAAATAGGCCCTTCTATGCAATGGGAGTGAAATGAGCTGTGAAATAAATTTCTGTGTCCTAGACTCCTGTTTTGCAGCATTATCCTAAAGCTGCAAGTCTGGAAGCTGCAGTGATCACATGGATGGACGTGCTGAAGCCACAGAGCTGGGAAGGGTAATGTTATGATGTATTCCCCAAAAAAAAAGTCACAGGAGGTAGGACATACCAATTTTAAACACCATCTTTGGGACACTTAGCTCGGTGTGTAAATTGGTGTTCCCACTCTTAAATTTTAGCGAGTTAATAGTTCTATTGAAAAATATGGGAGGGTAAAGTCTCACATATTTTACATGATGAGTCATATATCTTGCCATACTGGAAATTAAAAATTCTGGCAATTACAGAGATGGACAGGGTTTGAGTGCCTGTAGAAAACAGAAAAACCCCAAACAGCCTTCTAGAAAGAAAAACCATTTCAGTAAAGTTAAACAAAGTACTCTTCTACTAAGGAAGACCAGTTAGACTTTTAAAGTTAATTTTGTTTGGTATTGTTATCAATGATGTGCAGTCTATTGAACATTTTCTGAACCATCACTCTGAAACCATTGTGGTGCACTTTATTCACAAAACCATCTTACCTTCTTCATTCATAATGCCTTTTTATCCTGCTTGTAATACGTTTCTGTATTTTTTTTTTTAAGTACAAAGTAAGATTATATCAAGACAGTAAGGACATTCCTGGGAAAGAAAAATCATGCTGTAATATCTATACTGTCTGAGCACAAAGCAATGATAAAGTGAAAATATAGTGTACAAATAATTTGTAATATAATAAACATTTTGTATGGCTACAATTACAATATAGTTTTTCAATACTGATTTCAAAGAAGAAAGTATTTGTGTTTAAAGTTATATCCTCATTCGAATATATCCATGCCATTTTTACTGAGAAAAGTGTAGTAATTTAGGTTTTTCTACTTAATGCCCCAGTTTTATTTAAAAATACATCAAATGTTTAGGTGAAAATACTGTTTTCTGTGTACAAAATCTGTTGATCTTCTGACCACTCTTTGTCTTCAGATTTGTAAATAATCAGTAGAAACAACTGCAGATGAAATGCACATATAATTACTTCTTGGTATTTGCGTACTGACCACTTTCAGTTGGTAAATTACATGTGATATTTCCTAACATAAATAGAACAGTAACTTTAAGAGGATAAAGTAATTGACAGTAATTTTTTGAGAAGACCATATTATCTGGATTTGAGAGAACCTCTAGCACTCAGTCTAGAAGTATGAGTAATATTTGCATCCAATAATATTATGGGTAGAACTTGATAGAAGTGCATGAAAATCCTATATATAGAGATGGGGACATTATCTTACATAGTGATCATTTCTTTTTCAGACTAACTTTGAAAATGTGAGCTGTAAGAAATGTAAGATAAAAATGAGAAGCAAGTAGAAAAAGCAGCACTGGACTGAGTGGCAGAACTGTTTTGCTTAAAGGCTGATACATACAAAGCTGACCACAGTTTTCATTATATTTCAAGATGTCTGACTGTTAAACTATTAATTACATTTTAAAGTATGTTTTTTTAGTCCTGCATTGCCAATGTAAGAGTTAACTGCCAGCTTCTAAAAGCTGAGGGAGCTTGAGAGCAGCAAGTTTTCTGAGCTAGCAGAAGTCACATCATTTTGCTGACCCTGTTCATCCTTTGCATTCTGGGCAGTTCCAAACACTGTGCCCAGTAACTTATGGTCCTGACCTTGCACTTCTTGTACATGAACAAATCTCAGTGTCTTCCCCTTCCTTGCTGACTGAAATGGGATGGGAAAACAAGTGTGAGACGATCTGAAGGCTGTTAACAGGTCAGGAGTACCTTAAGGGTTTGGAAGCCGTGGACCTTCTGTTGTGCATTACTCGTACCTATAGACAATGGTTGTGTTTGGCAGCTGCTCCCAGCAAGGTGCATTCCTTGATATGACTGATACACATAAATTAACACTCAGTCCTGTCCCAAGAGAGTGTATAGATTCCTGCTTCCACACCTTTGTGTAAGCCATGTGCATTCTCTGTGCAGCTCCATGTGAGAGCGTGCCGTAATTAACACCAGTTACTCAAAGCAATCTCTTGTAATAAAATACCAAGTTGCACGGAATCCTTATTTTACTACATCATTAGGAGGAGGAGGGAGGAGAGGAGGGAGGAAGAAAGATGTGGTTATAGAGTATGCAGACTTTATAACAGTGCTAAATGGAATCACTATCTCAAGTGGTAACTTTTTGTGGTAGACTTTCTTTTCATCAGTTATATTTTTTGGCCCTAACTCCAGGACTGAGTAACATTTTTTTTTATTATTTTTTTTTTAATGCCTATCAAAATAGCTCAAAATTAGATTTTTCCATTTTAAGGATAAGGTTACTCTTTTAGAATGCTTTTTTTAAACTTTTGCCTTTCTCTCGTAGATAAATAATGCAGGACTCAACTTGTGGAAATGAGATTTATATAGGTCAGTGAATAAATTGCTTTCTGACTTGCTCTTTAAGAGAGACTTTCAGGATGGCCAAGTCATAAAGGCAAGGCTGGTTAATACTGAAGAATCTCTACTGAGAAAAACTGCATTGCACATCCTTGATCGAAATTGTTTTGCCCCGCAAGTGGAAAGCAATCAGAAAACTGGGCATCTGGTGATTCCTGTTACTCAGGAAACTTTTTGCTTGGGCTTTGTGTAAGACATGGGAGATGAGACAGAGATTTTGAGGGGGTTGTGAAATGGGTAGACTACCCTGTGTAACACATTTGCCCTTTGAGTTACCCTTAATACTCACAGACATAAAAACTACAGCCACCAAAGTGTCGTGGCAGAAAGGTGGTTTAGGTCCTGATTTTAAAAACAGTTGAAATGCCCCCCAATTCATATAATATTTCATGCTTTTAAAATCACCTTAAGACCATATTCTTATGAGTATTGTATCATACTTGAATATATCTATACGTGTGTGTCCAAAAATATTTTTTCAAAACTAGTTTTATTTGTCCATCTCTTTGTCCCTATTCATTTCAGGTTCCTTAAGGTGTACGGAGGCAGTGATGAAGAGTTTGATCTCAGAGTTGTTCTGTTAGATGAGAAATAGGTTTCAAAGAGGTGGTCAAATGTATAGCAGATGTCTTGAAAATAATTACAAATATCATGAAGAGGTGTTCCAGAAATTTGATTATTTTTTTTTCATTTATTAAAAATAATTCTTGTTTTAAGAAGTGCCTGACTTTTCATGAATTTTTCATACTCAATTAATTCCCAAGGAGTAGCTAGAAACTATATTGCATTCTGTAAATAATTTTGTAACTTTATAAACACATATTTACCTGTGAGGCAATAATGGCTGCAAAGGATTGTAAATCATACGGGCAGTTGATTCCACTGAGTACAATATTTAGAAAGGAGGTGAATTTCTCTTCCAAAGTATGCCCCTTTTCACTGCAGCTCAGTGCATTTCTGTGCTTTGTAAATCAGTGTCTAAACACCACAACAAACACTGACATCAGTTAAAATCTCTTTTATCTGGCAAGGAGCACTGACTTTTGCAGCCCCAGTGGGACCTTGTAAAGAGTGCCTGTGTATAACTTCAATTTTTTAAGCTATTAAACCAGAAACTTGTGGGTCCTGAACTCTGGCTTTTTGCATGGAATCAGTGGCTTTTAGGTCCTGTGTCACCAGCAAACTTAACTAATAGCTTCCTTGAGATGTGATGCAGCAGAATACAGCACCCTGTGCCAGGGATCCACCAGCACCTAAAAAGCAAGTTACTGTGGTAGAAGAATAGGTAGTAAACCTTGCATTTCAGCAGTGGATGGACACTAAGTGGTTATGAATTTGTTATTATGGCAGGTCAAAAAGTCTTGAAGTTAACTGCTTTGAATCAGTTTATGTATTTGGTTAGCTTTTGATTTCTTCATTTGTTAACACGGTACGAAATGAACAATATTAACAGAATTAACAATATTAATTCTATTTCAGACTTATAAACTTGGGAGATCTGAATGTAAGCAAACTTGGAAGTTTACTCTCTATCCTTTTCTCTATCTACTACTTTTCACACTACAATTAGAAAAAAAAAACCCAAACACTTTACCCACCAAAAAATTAATTTTAGTATTTCTTTCTATGGCAGAGAGACTGGGAATGCTTTTTCATTTCATGTTGGTGTTGAGTTTTCAAACTGTATCCAATGTCATATTTGATAGAAAAAAAAATGGCAGTGAAGCCATGATAGAACTCATCTTACTGAAGCTTAAATTTTGGGTTAGGATTTAGCAACCCATCAGAAACAGCTCAGGCCCAACAAAAGAGTCCGTTCTGGGCGGTTCTTTGGATCTCATTAGAAAGCACAGATATTCCTATGCTCTTTGACTTTTTATTTTCACTTGATGTCTTTCTTGCTATTGCTGTGCATTCTGAATTTGACTTTTACATTGGTGTACACAAAGAGGTGCACTCTTTACCTCACTGATATGCTGCTGGTGTGATAGAAGTAGTAACCAACACATGTGACAGAATTTTCAAATAGCTGTGGCATTGCTTGGTTTTGGCCTGTGTTCTGCTTTGTGATGATTACAGAAATCATATTAGTATTAAAGCAAAATGTGAGCATAGATAACACCTTCCACTGAAGTTATTGGCAAAACACCTGCTCACTTCAAGGAGAACAGGACTGATCCAGTAATCCCTCAGTTAAATTAGCCATCACAAGGATCTTAAAGTTGTGCAAAGAGAGGAATTATGCTTTCTGGTTATGGGTAGCTGGAAATGGGGAGATCGGAGGTCACTTGATTTTTGTTCAGGATTTTGGATTGGTCCTGGGCAAGGTGCTTAATCTGACTGTGCCTCAGTGTCCCATCTGTAAAGCAGGGTGAAGGGACTACCCCTCCTCACAGCCCTGCTGAAACCCTGGAGTGCAAGTGGATACTTTAGTATGAAGCACTATTGATTATTTCATGGAGCTTTGGTAATTGTTCAAGGCTATACATTGCCTGTTCCTCTGGTAGCATTTAAATAGATGTGAATTTACAAGAAAAACCCCACCTCCTGATAATATTTCAGTATGTTCTAGGAAGCCTTTCCAGTAACAGCCTCTGCACTTTTTTACAGAGATTTACAGAATTTATATCAATAAATCACCTCGCTTCCCATGCAACAGATCTCATTTTCCAAGGAAATGAACTTTTCTTACATCTTTGACTTATGGAAAGGACTAGCTCTGCATGATTACAAATATCCATGCTAACTTTGGTGTTCACAGCTTGATTCAACTAAACTGTAATGGCTGTGTCTGTGAAATTTGCTCAAGATTTATGAGTGTTTCAGCTGTAAATGGGAAAATTAGTTTTCTGAAGCTGCAAAATTGAGAGTGAATTTAAAGCCAAGTCTAGGAGGGATTCAAATGAAAGAAGAAGAAAATAATTAATTAAAATTTTATACTATGCAATCAGAAGGGAAATCTCCAAGAACTGGTTCCTTTTGCAATTACAAATGTAGAACCATAACGATGGTAGAATTTTATATATGACTGAAAAGAAGGCATTTAAAATGTTCTGGGTCATTACCAAATGACTGTGTTTTTACTCTGAGCCATAGGGTGATTCTAGAAATGAAGCTTATGAGTACATAGAATAGTTTCTTTCATGTTAGTGGCTATAGCTTAGTTAAAGTTGTACATGTGTTTTCCTTGGCAGTTTTGCACATTAAATAAAATACGTCTCAAAATCCGTGTTGCTACTTATTGGTTGTTCCTGCTGTGTCCTTTTCTTTAGATCAGTGCTTTAAAGCATGAGCCTTCTTTTTACCTGGAGCTTCCAGGCTTCTGGGCTGCTTAGGGGTCCCCTTGCTCGTGGCCTCAAGGCAGAACCTGGCAAAGGACAGGAAAGGAGTTTTAAGAACTACACAAGTCTAACCCATGTATTCCAGCGGTGGCATTCCCCCTGAAGAAGGGTGTTTTCCTACCTTACACAGAGGTGAGCAGTGCACTAACCAGCAAGACTGTGAATTTTGAGGACATCTTGTGTTTCTGCGTTTCCTTTGTGAATTTTTGTTCTCACCTTAATGTCCTCTATGCATTCCCCTATTATTCAGTCAGTTACTGTGGTTTTTAACAGCATTTATTCAGGCCCAAGTTTCATGCTGTCATACTGAAGGAAAAGGAAAATGAAGCTATGTACTTCTGACAGTACTGCTTTTGTGCTATTTGTGATGTAAGAAATTGGGACTAAAAAGTTTGTTTTAGTACAAAGCCTCTCTTTGTAGATTTAGACTTAAAAAAGGCAAGAAAGGATCTTCCCAAAATACAGGATAAATGAACTTCCTAGTGTATGTATCAATACTAAGGTTCTGGACAGATGGTATACTTAAAATACAGTTTATATTTTTATATACATATATATATATATATATATATGCTGTGACTGTGAGTGCTTAAATTGCCTCAAGAGGCTGTTCTGGCTTTTCTCAAGATACACTAAAATCTCAGCCTATTTCAAAAATGTATGTTTTTAGTGTGTAACATTAAACAGGAGACTTGTGTTATTAATAATTATGTTTTCTTAGAAAAGCCAAATGCACCACTTATGGACTGCTTCCTGATTGGCAACTTTTTGATCCAGCATCTAGATGTCAGTGACCTTAAGAAACATCACCTCCCAAACAAACAAAAGAGGACAAGTTTCCTAGAGTTAAGTGCTGCTCTTGATTTCCCTACTTTATGTTGAGATCTTTGCTCTGAATATTCAGGACAGGTGAATCTTATCGTGCAGCATACACTGCTGAAAACAGAAAAATCATTTTATGATAGCTTACTGCTCTTGGATTTCCTTTGTAATCTGTCCCTGAGCTAATTAATGCAGCTCTGAAGATTAATTTAAATTCTAATGATCCATTGTAATAAGGCTGAGTATCTATTTGGAGAATTTTAATGTTGCAAACTCTTAAATATAACAGCCTGAAATTTAATGGACCCAACTGTTCGGTATAAAATACTTTAAAGTTTAAATGCATTCTTGTTTTCAAATGGCTTTGTACCTAATTTTTCCCATCATAAAGCAACCAAGGCTGTTCCAGGTTTCAGAAATGAAAGACCTGAGGGCATTCCTTGGGGAGCACCTGGATATCACTGCAGGTGTAGACACAGCTCTTTCAGCAAGACAGCTGTCATTGCTCAGCCCTTGTGTTGGCTGCAAAGACGTGACAATCTGCTTTAGGAGAAGTTTTCTTTGTTTAGAATTGGAAATGGGAGCAACCTACTGATAATGTTTTGAGATCTCTGCCCATGAATCAAATTTGTAGCCTAATGTTTCTTTCTGGAATGCAATTTGTTGAGTCACAAGGCCGCTGTATGAAAGAGGTCTGAGCTATGCCAGCATCTAAATATCAGGTTTAGCCACGCCTGAGCAGTCTGAGAGAACAGAAACAATTAAAAAAATGAATGTCACAAACATTGTGAATAAAAGAAAATGCAGTAAGAATGCTGTTCTGTTTAATGTATGCTTAGTTGTTACAAAAGAAATTATAAACACATTAGCTTTCAGATGAACCCATAGGCCTGCAAAGATGAGAGCAAATTACTGGATATAACAAGATCAGGTGGAAACAGAGAAGAAAAATAAAGGTAAATAAAATGTTTAGGGGCAAATAAAAATCAGCATATGTGCCATTATGTATTAATAACCTGGTTGTTTGTCCAGGTATGGACAAGCTTATTACTCCCTTGCTGAATTCATGCATGTGAGTGTGTTACTAGTTCCAACTGAGAGTACAGACAGTGATTACTTTCAGGCAGAAATATTACATCATGTGTCCCATGTTTCTCCTAGAGTCTCTAAGTTCCTTTTGTAGGTGCTACTTCACACACACAGAAGGGTATTACTTAATCACACATCCAGTGATTCTCTCCACCATTCTTTAATGATCATCTTGGAATGTGGAGATGCTTCAGTGAAAGGGCTTTGGCCAAAGTATCCTGATAGAAGAGTGCTGTGGGTGATGCTGGCCAAGGGAGACCATTCTGCCTTGTTCTGGCACATGAGCCAAATGACTTTTTCCAGTAGATGTGTGTCCCCAGGCAACTTTAGCTGAGCTTACATATTAACTGACATTATTCCTTGCATTATCGCCCAGTAATTAAATATGAAGTGTTGTTTTAATGTAAAGGGCGTATGAAAAACCGAACAACAGATGGAAAAAAAGATTTAAACTGTGTGTTGGGAAAAGCAGCTTTTTTAAGCCAAGAAAACCCGAGCAGATAACGGCTGATGAGAGCTGGATGCAAAGTGAAAGACTTGGTAAAAGCTGAGAAGTAACAGTTAGGAAGCAGTGATGGCATGTAATGGAAACCCTTATAGGCCCTTGCAATAACCTTGGAAAACTTAGAGTAGTTAAGGAATGAAATTATTCTGCAGATTTGGAAAAATGAAGATAGTTTCTCTGCTACCTAATTTGATTTTTAAAGCTCTTACTTCTGCACAAAGCCTTTGAAGGCCTCTGTGTCTTGGCCCTTTATGTTTAATCCAAGTTTGTTTTCTGATACTCAGTTTAGGCACTGAGACAATTCTCAATTTCATAGTAATCAACTATTTCAGTTTAACCATTTGCATTTTCACAGTAATTAACCATTTCAGGTTTAGCCTCAAAACTCTTTGGGAGAATTTTTATCCTCATTCTGCAGAGGGAGCAGTGAAACACTTCAGTCCAGATTTCCAAGGTGTTCCAGTGATAATTTTGTTCTTTAGGCACATAGATTTACCTTTTGTTTATTTACAGCCTCAGCCTCTAAGATGTGCCTGGAAAGACAGATAAATCATGGGTGGTTCTGTGAGCATTTCCTGACCAGGTGTAAAAATACCTCGTTTAAGAAACCCACTTTGGAAGTGACTTATGGTGCTGTCTGGAGTGAAACAGCTTAAAATATGCAAAGTAGTGAAAACAGAACTGTTTAGCCAAGAGCACGGCATTATTAATTAGACTCCAAAGAACTAAGAAGCAATTAAATGGTGCCAAGGTGGGCTTAAAGACCTGGCTTCAGCCAGCTAAAGGGGAAGGGTGTTTGAATTGAAATGGATGATTGAGTGTAAAAGAAAAAGAAGCTTACAGTGGCCACTGCTGACCCTGACCCTGTGTACAGGCAGCTGCCAGGGCCTGGGGCTCACCCTGAGGCTGCAGGAACCCCGAGTGAGACCCTCCCTAGGCCTGTGTTAAAAGAAGCCTTGTCCCCAGTCCTGCCCCTGGGCTTCCCACCTCCACCATCCCGAGTCCCTCTCCATGCCCTGCCTGAGGAACACCAGACCACTGGACAGAGCCCAGTCTCACCACCCTGCTCAGGCTTTGGTTTGTTAAAAAGCCCATTGATCAGCAGATGAAGCCAAGGATTGCCATGTCAGCAGGGACACCAGCTGGCAACAGCCAGTGCAGAGGGTAAGATTCCATTTAAGATTTCCTAGTGCTCTGATAAAAGCTGATTGTTATAGTTTGATGATTGAGAAATAGGAGTTATAAATTAGATTTTTTTTTTTAATATGAACTCTGTGTACGGTAGATCAGAATCTGGCTGGAAAGACTGAGATAGTATAAGAGTGAATCCTGTAATAAGCAGTAATAGGAAATAAAATTTTGATATCATATTGTGTTAAAATGCTTCACAGTTGAGCAACTGGAACACAGTTTAGAAAACCACAGATTAAAATATTAGACTTAAAAATAAAGCTGTTTGCCAAAATATGACAGCTTCAGGGTCATAACTTTATTATTTCATGCTGCCACCTACTGCTCTAGGATTAGAATAGGAAAAAGTAATTGGTATCTTTTTATCAGTCTGATCAACCTGTTTACCACTTTGTGAGGTTATTCTCCATGCCATGTATGGCACCACTTGTGAATGGTAAATGTTCCCCAGATCTTTAATTTTTCCTCATGAAAGGATGTGCCTTCCAAACATAAGGATGTTGTCGCTTCAAAACTACCGCTTTAGCCTAAGCACAGTTATTCCTAAAACAACAGTAAAATGTTAATTGAAAATCAATGTTATATGACTATTCTGTTAAAAGCTAACTCAAGCCATAACTTCTGTAATTTTGTGGTAGACCAAAGACTGTGATTGTAACAAAAGATTTTTATGCTAACATGAAAGTAGTTTTTTAGAGCTGGCTTAGAGGTGTAGACCTTTGACCATACCTATTGACTCAAAGTTACATTTAATGTACTTAGAACTAAAAGAGAAAAAAAACCCCCACTATATTTTGTATTGCAGTTACTGCGTTTCCTGGCCACACATATCTTGAACACCATCAATGGACTGCTGGGAATCTTGAAAACAGCAGTGTTAATTTCACAGTGGTTTTGAAGACAATATTATGCATCCTGTCTGCATATAGTGACTGGAGAAAAAAAAAAGGTAAAATATACAGTAGTGTTATCAGTAACTAGTGCTAGACAATTAATAAACAAAAAAATGCAACAATATACTATATTTTTTAATTTGCTAGGAGAATAGCATCTAATAAGTAGAAACCCATTATTGAAGGTCCATTAAAATACTCCATAGAGATATAGTGGCAGAATATTCAGCTGAAATAATCCTCATTGTGTTGGTGGCTATTATTTCAGGTTCTGCAGTGCTTTCATGCTTTGTATCTTCTTCTCTTCCAGTGCCTTCAGAAGTTTATCTAAACAGGAATAAAACATAATTTGTCATTAATTTTGTCATTAATACTTTTGGGAAAATCAAATAATGTATTAAGCAAACTAATAATATTCCTTACAATAACTCGTCTAGAAAATATCTGAAAACTACAGTTTCTCAAAACAATAGGTATTAAAATGGAAAAACATTTACTATAACAAGGGAAAAAACTACTAATTTCCTGTTCTGAAAAGTAAATATATGCAAGCTACCTATCAGAATGTCTTTGAGATCTTCCTTCAAATGTGTATATCTGATGCACATTTTTTTTCTGTGTTCTTGTAACCTTTGCACTGCTGAAAGTTTCCTGACTAGCAGCCCGTGGCCCTGAAGGAAATGAGGAGCATCATATCCTTACGGCTGTTGGCCTCGCTGCTGGAACTCTGAAAGTATCCCGACCTGATGAACTATTTTATTTCTTGCATTTCCTTCACGGCCAGCGGGTTATAAAATTAAAATGCCAAAGTTTAGCTTGTTTCGGGTTCCCCCCGCCCTCCATCTATCTGTGGCCGTCAGTGGCGTTTATTCCACGTCGATGCGATTTACAACCCCAGGGTCTCATTAGTAGCGGACACATTTTGCACGTACAAACTCCCTCTGATTCTGCGCTGTTTTCTTGTTAACACCTCGGGGAGGTGGTGGGGGGTGGTGGCGTCTGTGCCTTTGCGCAACTGTAACTACATCCCAAATTCTTACGCCTCCCTGAATTTGTGCCCTCGGCCCGGGGAGATGAGCTGGGACAGTGCTTTTGCTCCCTGCACCCCTGTGCTCGCCCAGCCGCGCCGTGTCCCCTGGGCTGCTGCGGGGCACAGACCACCCTTTCGGGGCGATGGGGGGACCCGCTGCCCTTGCGGCCGGGCTGCGCTGGGGGGCTGGCAGGGGGTGTC